ACAGAGCACTCGTAAGTGATATCGAGGCTTGCGGGCGAGAAAAGCGAGTCGCTATGGAAAGTGAGAGCCTACCCGACGTATTTCGTCGCCTCGACGCGCGCAATCGCGAGAACATAGCGCGTGCCGGCCTGAACGTCCGGACTTCCGCGGACATCTTTGAAGAGTGTCAAAAGCAGCTTGAAGCGGCAAGAGGGAAAAAGTCGGGTCGGCGTCGGAGTGCGGAGGTGGCATCTGTATCCATGCCAGGCACAGACGAGGCGCGGAAACGTCACGGAGAAGCCACGGCCGAGTCGCAGCCGAGGCACTTGCAGGTGGGACAAAGCAAACCGCCCGTGAGGCCGGGGGATTTGTTCGGGATCTTGGTCGCACAGGGGATCGAAGGGTCCGCGGCGAGCATGCACGGCCAGTGCGACGCGCCAGACAGGTCGAACACAGCGCTGCTGGCGGGTCTAGGAATCCGGCCATTGGCGGCAAAAAGCGGAGCTGGGCCGGCGGAGGGTGAAGAGGCGACGGCAAGTGCGGCGTCGGGAGGGACCGCAGACGTTTCGGCGTTGGCAGATGTGGGAACCAGGACGTGGGAGGGAATACTGGAGGGTCGACCGGATGCGGAAAGCAACAGGGTACGGAGAGGGCCGGTGGATGCTTCGGTGCTTGCGAGTCTAGGGATCCGGACGTCAGCGGACATTATCGAGGCGACACAGAAGGAGTACGAAGAGGCCAGACAAAAGAAGAGTTCCCGGCGCCGGCGGATTCGGAAGCCGGGAGTCGCGGCACCGGGCCGGACGGTCGGCGAGACTGGGGATGCGGCTACGGACCCTGTTTCTTCTATGGGGCCGAGTTTGCTGCCGGATCGGAAGAGAGCGGGTCCTAGCACCACTGAGCAGCCAACGCCAAAGCGCAGGAGGGCCATGGTCCGTCGAGAGAGAGACGAGGAAGAAGAGACGCAGGATCTGGCCAGTGTCTTAGAAGCTCTCGACAAAGAGTTCACCGAGAAGGAGCGACTCTCTTATGGACGCGAATGGTGTGTGCCCGTGCCCGTCGACAGGAAGGTGAAGACGGTTCAGGCCTTTTACAAGGCGTTTCACGAGACGAGGACATTGCCAATTCTTATCTGCATGTTTTGCTATCGCAAATACAGCAGGGCAGAGCTGGAGGACGTTGAATGGGGCTGTTGGGCGGCAGCAAATGTTGCCGAAAAGCGCAAGGGGTCGTCCTTCGAGTGCGGCTGGTGCTTCCCGGTTGGGGAGAGCATTCGCGGGTGTGCAGATTGCGTGAGACGCCTAAGGCGTGGCGCTTTGTCGTCGGCCGCGCAGCTGCACGGGCGGTTGGGCTGCGAGCACATGTTTCCTGACGAGCTCAAGGGTCTGACGCTGGTGGAGGAGAAGCTCATCGCACTGAACGCGTGTTACGGCTTCATTACCAAGTACAGCGTCGTGGAGGGCCATCGGCAAAGTACAAGGTACCCCAGGCACATCAAGGGACACATCACCGTATTCCCTAATAATGTGGAGGAGCTTGCCACGCGAGTGCTTCCACACCCGCTCCTCAGGGTCATGGATGATATTCATGTGTCGTGGCATGGGTCGACGAAACCGGCACCGAGCGACCTGTCAGCACTGCTGTCGGTGCGCCGCCGAGTTGTGGAAAAGGCGTTGCTGTGGCTGAAGACGCATAATCCTCTGTATGCTGACATCTCCATCGACACAGCGGAGCTAGACAGCTGGGACACGCCCTCGCATGGGGTGCTTTCCCAAGTCTACGAGCGTTTGGAACGGAACGAGCCCTCGGTAGGCGAGAAGACACGAACAGCGCAAGTTGTCCCGCCGACGGAGCGCGGACTTGAACGTGAAGAGAACGTGGATATCCGAGAAGTCCTGGAAATGCTCAACGGCGGACGAGATACAGAGGTCAGGGGCACGGACGGTGTGGAGGGTGATGGCGAGAGAGATGCTAACGGCGTAGCTGCCGCTCCGGTCCACGAGGTCAGCTCGTCAGGGATGTTCGCCCTTGACGGACGACCGGATATAGCTGACGCTGAGAAGCTGCGGTATGTCTGCGGCGCCCTCCGGCCGTACGATAACGGTGGCGAAAATCGGAGCGGACGGTGGGCAGGGTCAGTCGAGGTGCAGAGCAGAGGTGGCTCCGCTTCCGAGCCGTACATCCTGGTGTCCCGTGGCGAAGAGTTTGCCGATCCCTTCGATGCACGATACTTTGCAAAGGTCTTCCCGACGCTCTTTCCAGTTGGCAGCGGGGGACCCCGCCAGGCGGAGGAGAGTGCCGCAGACGCGGATCTGGGTGCGGATGAGGGCGTTGACGCAGAGGCCACGGCGAGGGCCCTCGTCTCGTCGCGGAACATGACGCTGGAGACGTGGGCTAGAGTGGTGCTCCAGCGGCACGGCGGCCGGTTTGCCACGCATCACGTCTTCTCGTTTCTCGTCTTCAACATGGGAGTGAGGTCGAGAAATCGCCGGGTCAGCCTGTTGAGTGTGACCAGGAAGAATTTCCCAGAGGTGGAACGTATCGTACGGTCGTTGAGCGTGGAGAGGCTGGAAGCCGCCAAGGTCGAGTTGGAGGCGACCGGCAAGACCGGCGACGAGGCCGTGTACCAGCTGTTGAAGTGCCTGTCGCTCTACGGGTTCCGCCAGCCGATGTCGAGGGAGAGCCGGCTGAGCTCGCGGCGGAAGATGAAGTCCTTGCTCATCCGAGAAGGTACACCCGCGATCTGGATCACGCTGAACCCGAACGACATTACCAACCCGGTGAAGCTCAGGCTCGCTGCATACAGGACGCGAGATCCGGATGAGGCGGAGTCATTCCTGTCGAGCCTCGACTTGGCATATAAGCGGACACGGCTCGCTATCTCCGACCCCCTCAGCTCGGCAATCTTCTTCCATCGGGAGGTATCCATGTTCTTCGAGCACTACGTGAAGACGGGGGACGAGTCCGTATTCGGGCGTGTCAGCAGGTACTTCGGCGCCGTAGAGACAAACGAGCGTGGCGCTCTCCACATGCACGGGCTGCTCTGGCTGCAGGGAAACATGCATCTCGGCAGCGTCCTTGGGGATGTTACGGGTGAGGACGCGACGGAGTACCGGGAGAGGGTCGTCCAGTACGTCGACAGCGTCTTCGACGAGGTAAGATTTTCCCATGCGGGGGCTGGGGCGGAGCACGTCAACTAACGCGAGGCTGATGAGCCAGGACCTCGACCAGGAGGCCTTCGCGGCGGTGCAGGCGGAGAGGTCTGTGACGTCAGACATATCGTCGCTGCTGCAAAATAGTCAGCAATTCTCGGCAGCATTCGATGAGGAGGCCAACTTTTGCGCCGGCGCCACCCAGATCCACACCCACAGCCCTACGTGCGTGAAATACTCCATCAGGGGGCAAGGGAAGCGTCGGGACCCCTGCCGGTTCAAGGCGCCGTGGAAGGTGGTGGAGAGGACCGCGTTTACGGACGGCGGCGTTCTGCAGATCCGGCGCAGTCACAGCATGGTGAACCGATGGAACAGGGCCATGGCGGTCGGGCTGCGGCACAACCACGACATCTCTTTCATCGCGACGCAATGCAAGACTATGGCCATTGTGTTCTACGTGACCAACTATGCGACGAAGGTTGAGGATCCGGTGTGGAAGAGGGTCGCGGCGGCGGCGGAGCTGTTCCCGACCCTGGACGAGTCGATGGGCGAGGAGCAGGCAAACAGCGCGGATCAGGGACAGAACAGGACGCGACGATTCCTGATGAGGGTCGCGAATCGCATCTTTACGGATCGGGCGTTGTCGCAGGTGGAAGTAGTCGCGCATCTCTTGGGCTACCCTACGGAGTTTGCGAGCAACCAGGGCTGGGCGTTTCTGAACGCGTCTTCGCTGTACTGGCAAATCTTCCGGCGGTGGGACCACCTGCGACGCGAGAGCGGGTTGGAGGCGGCGGATGAGGCGGTCGAAGAAACGGTACAGCTGGAAGAGGGTGGACAGAAGATCTCTTTCTTGCAAGCATACGCTCATCGAGGCAGGCTGCTGCAGGCGTTGTCGCTGTATGATTATATGTCTGTAGTCAGGCTGAAGCGGAAGCGGGGGACAGGCGGAGGTCGATGGGGTGAGGTTCGATTCGATGACTCCTGGCCGCCGTCACAGACGTGGGTACAGGCATTGCGGAGACCCGGCGAACATGCTGTCGTCTGCTTCGATGGGTATCTTAGCGGAGACTTTAGCGAGGAGAGCGAGACGTATTACAAGAGGTACGTAGCAAAGTGGGAGCTCGACGGGTCTCGCTGAGGGCTGACATGTGCTGGCGCAGGGCGGCGGTTCAGCATCTCGCCGTATTCGTGCCGTGGCAGTCCTTCCTATGCGAGACTGCGGGAGATATCAATGCCCTCTGGGAGAGGCAGAGGCAGTGCCTGTCTCGGCGGATGGCCTTCTTCGCGGACAACATCCAACTCCTTCGTCGGTCGGCCGAAGACGCGAAACGCGATGCCAAGCAATGGGCCGCCCAGTCTGGGGATGGCGATCCAAGCTCTGAAGCGACGGGTGCTGGTCTGGTCGATACTGATGAGCGGGCGGCCTCGGAGTTCCGGTCAGATGGCGTTGTTATTGCGACACGGCTCATCGTCGTTTTGAGGGCGACGATGGGCGCTGAACAGATCACGGTCGGCTCGCGGGAGATCTTCACGATGGTGCAACAGTTGAGCCGATTCGAACAATCGGTGCTCCGGCCGATGGACGAGTTGACTGCGGCGGTAGCGAACGTGGCCGATGAAGCGTTTGCGGCCGCGGACGTGCCGGCGCAGGCACAGATAAGGTCCATCAAGTCGCAGCAGAAGTGCGTCTCGAGGGAGAAAGAAAAGATGATTCAAGGGATACAGAATCGACCGGATAACGCCACATCCGGCCACGGTTCAGCAGTCGGTAGCGTGCAGGAGGCCTCATCCGTTCAGGGCTCCCGGGCCTCAGTAAGTGTCCGCTTCGGGCCTTCGACGTCGTTCTCGGAGGCGGGGAGGAGGCTGGTCAGCCTGTTCACGCTCAACCGCAGGCAGAGCATCGCCCTGCGACTGATATGCCGGCAACTCGACAGGATACGAGACGACGAAAATGGAACACCCCAACTCTGCCAATTTGTCGGCGGCGAAGGGGGCACCGGAAAGTCGCGGGTCATCGATGCCATCGCCGAGTTGTTCGCGAGCAAGGGAATATCGCACCGTCTGCTGGTAACCGCAACATCTGGGACGGCTGCCGCGAAGATCAACGGGATCACCATCCATTCCGCGTGCGGGTTCTCCAAGGACGCGAATGCCCGGGGAGCTCTGCGGTCGGACGTGGATGGTTTCGCACCGGCCGCCCGGGCGGGCCTCCGCATCGACGGGCAGGCCACGGCAGAGTGGCGGGAGAAATGGGCCCTGATTATCGACGAGGTCAGCATGTTGGGGGCGAGGACATTGCATGACGTAGACGAACGGCTCCGCCAGTTCCGGGGATCCCGTCGTGACTTCGGCGGCATCCCTATTGTTCTCTTCAGCGGGGATTTCCATCAGTTCCGTCCGGTGCAAGAAAGATCGATCCTCCTCCCGAGCACGGTCATCACGTGGGACGAAGAACGATCGTTCACAGCCGAGCAGAGGTACCAGCACGACAGAGCCCACGCATTGTCGAACAGGTTCACGACGGTGGTGATGCTGAACGAGCAGGTCCGCGCAGCCGGCGATCCAAAGCTGCAGCGGCTCTTGACGCGAGTGCGGGAAGGTGTGCAGGATCAGTCGGACCTGGACTTGCTCAACAGCTCGTGCTATCTCGAGGATAGGCGCATCCCGTGGGAGTCGGGTATCACGGTGGTGACACCGCTCAACAGAAACCGGTGGAACCTGAACGTCGAGGCGGCCCTCTGTTTCCAAAAGCAGCGAAAGGAGCACCTGCGAATCTTCATATCCGAGCACAGATGGAAAGGCGGCAAGCCGACAGAGGAGGAGGCCGTTATGATGCTTGGCCATGGCGATGACAGCAGCATACCGGTACCTGCCGTCTTCCTCTTTGTCCCTGGCATGCCCATCGTTGTGAACCAGAATACCCACATGGGTTTGAAGCTGGTTAATGGAGCAAATTACGCGGCCGTGGATGTAATCCTCGACCGGGCGCACCCGGGCTACCGCGTCGACGCCACAACGACCCTCCACTTTGGCCCGCCGGCGGGAATCGTACTGGCGTCGGGAACGACAAACGACCTCCACTTCGTCGGCATGCCGGCTGGCACCATCCTGCTGACCCCGATCAGTACCAAGATAGAGTGCCAGAGGAAGCGGCCGTGGCAAAAGAACGACGTAAGCCGGCGAGGGCTGCCATGCGCCGCGGCGTTCGCCTGCACCGACTACAAGGTCCAGAGCAAGACGTTGGACCAAGTCGCGCTCGAACTGCGGGGAACTAGGACGATGAGGGTGGACAGTCGGGCCGTCCCGACGCAGTGTGACCCGTACAGCCTGTATGTGCAGCTGTCTAGGTGCAAGTCGCTGGATGGGATCATACTCCTCTCGAAGGTCTGAGAGAGGGACTTCGTCGGGAATAGGGTGCCGGACAACATGGTAGCAGCGGAGGGTAGGCTAGAACGATTGAGCGATACGACGATTAGAGAGGCGGAGTCGTGGGGCTGTTGGGTATGAAAAGTCTCAGAAGGGAGGAAGGAAAACAAGTTGCGGGGAAGCGTCGCGCTTTGTCTCCCCCTAAACCCCCCCCCCCCCCCCCCCAAAAAAAACAAACGACGTCCAAAGAGACGGTGCTATCGCGAAACGGACGCGCAAGCACGGGTTTTGAGGCAAGAACCCTATTGGACGCCATCCACGTGACTTTTGGGCCCCCCCGCACTATAGCGGCAGAAGACCTTTCGTCTCTCCGCCCCGCTTCGTTCCTCAAGGCATCAGATCAGGTCGACCACGTGATTCTTTTTTTTGCAGGACGTTTTTTTGGGCCCCGCTTTTCTCCCGCGCCCGTCCTCTAAGAGCCTTTCGTTCCTCAAGGCATCAGATCAGGTCGGCCACGTGATTCTTTTTTTTGCAGGACGTTTTTTTGGGCCCCGCTTTTCTCCCGCGCCCGTCCTCTAAGAGCCTTTCGTTCCTCAAGGCATCAGATCAGGTCGACCACGTGATTCTTTTTTTTGCAGGACGTTTTTTTGGGCCCCGCTTTTCTCCCGCGCCCGTCCTCTAAGAGCCTTTCGTTCCTCAAGGCATCAGATCAGGTCGACCACGTGATTCTTTTTTTTGCAGGACGTTTTTTTGGGCCCCGCTTTTCTCCCGCGCCCGTCCTCTAAGAGCCTTTCGTTCCTCAAGGCATGTGACCAAGACTTTTTTTGGCAATGTACGGGAGTCCGTCACAACACAAATCAATCGAATCCTTTCAAGTTTGAGGGCATCATGAGAAGCTCAAAAACCATAAATGACGGTACTATCTTGTGCATAAAGCCGCGGTGATTCCCATCGAACATATTTGTTGTCCTACGCCAACAGATTCCGCAACCATCAGGATGTTCATCATTTCGCCTACAGAGGAGTCCAAAGAGTTGGCCACGCAGGCTCATTTCCCCGTCGACAAATTCATTCGGAATATTGATGCGAAAGACTTCTGGAGATTTCCCGACGGCATGGAGACTATCGAGGCCAAGCGACTTCTACGACACTACGTCGTCAAACAGGTACGTGAAATTGGCGTGATTAAACTTGACCCTACGCTTACCCATGATGCAGAAACCGACTCTTGACAAAAGAGCAGCATCCCGAGGGATACACATAGAAGGAAGGCTAATGACGGTAGGGCCCGATGTTGTCTGGCTGAGAGACGATCTTCTCAGGAATAACCTGGATAAGACCACCGTGATATGCTTGGCCATCCCAGCCCCCTCCCAGGTGCAGAATGCAGCACCATCTCATGAGGGCCCGAAAATCAAGCAAACGTTGATGCCAGAAATACGGAAGGGTGGGACGAAAGCTTTTACGATCGACTGGTCGGAGAAAGGGTTTGCGGACGCAACGGCTGCAGTGAAGGAGAGTAAGGGAACCATGTTGGCACCCGTTCATCTGCAAGTCGGCTGCGTATTGCAGCTTGACGAACATGAGGAACTCTACGTGCGACCAGAGGCTGAAGGCGTATGTATGGTCTTGTTTGGGCACAAGTACAGCACGCAGGAAGCGGGGAGTAGGTGAGGCATTCAGGGATCCCATTTTCATAGCTTTTCTAAGAAAAGGTCAAAGGTCGCATTGTCCCGAGAACCGATCAGATCAGAGACGTCGGTCAGAAACATCTGTGCAGACCAGCTTGGATCCTCTCCCCAGCCACATTCCCCCATCTCCCTAGTATTCTCGGTGATGACCACATGTTTTGCACCTAGCCAGTCACGCACAAGCTCTGAGAACCGAGCTGAGAGTAGGGAAAACGACCTCCTAACCCAGGTGGTCTTCTCTGTGGCTCTCGATGATTCGGCACATGCAACGCGTGAGCTCCCGTTGGGGTGTGGCGCGTCCAGCGTCAGAAATTCCAATGCCTGATCCAAATTGCCTGCTTCAACACAGCACATCGCGTTGTGCAATTGCGAAAGCCGGGCGTCCGAGTCGACGTCGAGGTCCTCAGTTAAACACAGTAGGCGGCGCAGCAGATTTAGTTGCGGCGCTATTTCAAATTCGAAAGCTGCCCAACGCTGTTGGAGGTCTGCGAATGGCATGGCCTGCGATGGAAGTTTCTGGGCATCTTGTGTTGCTTGAAGCTCCAGGACTGCGAAATTCGGCAAGCCTAAGGTTCGACATGCTTCCACGGTACTGGTGCTCGAGTGAGTAGAGGACTGCCGAGATCGAGAAGGTGTACTTACCTAACTTTCACAATCAAGGATATCCAAATCACCGGGACAGGGACCGTGTACCATTCTAGATGGTGGAGGCGCCGCCGTAGCGCTTCTGTCACGGTTTCAATGATCAACTCCTGTTCTTGGGCAGTTCTATGTGCTGCTGCCGACAGAACTTGCCCACATACTGAGACAGCTTAGCAACGATTTGGTGCAAGGCGCGCCCAACTAAACTTACCTGCAACGGCAGCAATCACGGAGAGAGCACTTATGCCGTCAGAGAACAACAAATTGTTAACGATGGAATGAAGCACATAAACCGCATTGGATGAACGATCTTGATCGTGGTTCCTCTCCTTGATGCCTGTCCGGCAGCGGGCGTATTGTAGGCAAGCAGAGAAGTACCAATCAGACCACATCGCGAGTCTAGCTCCATGTTTGCTGTGTCTCATTTTTTTCCTGAACTCGCTAGCAAGCGTGAGCAAGAGCTTGTCGAGCAGATGACCCGACAAATTTACTTGCAAGCACCTGGAAAAGATGCGCTGCATACTCGATTGGTCAAAGGCAAACATGTCTTTCTTTTGAACCATCTTTAAGCCTTTAGAAATAGTAGAGATTAGGCCGCGGCTGACTTCGTCGACCGTCTGCCTTGCCTTCGATCGTTTTTCGGGTCTCGGATCCCCAGCTACAACGAAGGGTGGGCCTCGTTTCCCACTTGTTGATGGAGCTGTAGGTACGAGCAATGGCGTAAGCGAGGAGAACTGCGTAGGTTCGGTGCTCTGGGAACCAGGGGAGCAGACGGGCTCCTGTTGCGATGCTTGAGGCATCGTACTGCCCTCTGGCGCCAGGGACGGGCATTCCGTGCACCGTCGACGGCTTGGATTTGCCTCAAAGCTGTCACGGGTCAGCGTCGAACTCGTTGCCAATGATGTACATACCAATGCCGGTCAAATTTCCACCGGACAGCTTGAATGTAGGTGTCGTAAACTTCCTGGACTTTCTTGCCGAGTTCGTCGACCTGATCACCAGAAGAAGTTGCTTCACAGTGGATCAAGATATCGTACAAAGGATGAGGAGAGTTCTCACGGACGAATGGTTTGACTTCAATCGTGATTGAGGCGTCGTACTCTGGTGAAGACAGTGGCACGTTGAACGTAAAGTATGTAGGGACTGTAGCGGAGATATCGCGGAGTCGCTGCTGCCCGATCCTCTTGAGATCTGACGCTTCATTTACCTCCGCGGCGGTGATGTGCTGCTGAGCCTCTTCAAACATCGAGACGATTCGTCGTAGACGTCTGGTTAGTTGGGAGGGTCGGGGCGGACTGAAGACTCCCAAAACAATAAAGCAGAAAGTGGGGGGGTAACACGCCTGATTTACCCCCCCACTTTCCCCAATTCTGAAGAACAGGGGTTATGAGAGCTGACTGCGGCTGTCGCGGACCCCTGACGCGATTACACGACCAGACATCAAGTTAATTCGGGCTCTTACCCGTATCCCGACCTACCTTGTCTCACGCAGCAGCTGGCCCCTCTGGCTTGGTGGCTCGACGTTGATCAATCTCAGCTGCCCGTTGGTGCGCCACCCAGGGCCCGAAGGAAGCATTGAGAATCCGAATACAAATATCCCGGTAGACCGCAGCTAAAACTGCCCATCTGAGGCTGCATCTGGTTGCCTTCCTGCAGTTCGCCTGCGCATGCAACGTTCACCACTTGTTCCGGTCTCTGGTCTACCACTCAGGTCTTGAGGATGCCCGCACATTTATCACTTTCAATGGAGACGTTTGGTCAGCAGAGCCCAGTGCCAACCCCAGACGTGGTGCCTATTGATTTGTCCTTGTCGAGGACAGCGTCTCTTCTCGTCACAGCCCCGCCACCTTCTCTAGCCACTGAGGATTATGGCTCGGATTTCAGCGCCGGGGAAGAGACAGTGGTCGGGGAAGATCAAATCACCAAGAAATCCCCAGCGGTAGTCATTGATCCCATTGACTGCTCGTTCAAGTCGAGAGGTACGTTGCAAGATCCACTTCACGTCTGTATATTTGCCCCAGTCAGCCTTGTTATCTTTGAATGGTCAACGTCTGACGTTTATCTGTGTGCCAGTTCTTTCAACCCTAGGGTGGATGTGCTGCTTTTATCCACAAAACGATGCCGATGACGAGTCCTGGTTTGGGTGCAAGGGACAGACATTTCCTCCACAGTGGAAGCTCGACGATCTTGCCTCAGCGCATGAGTCCAGTCATGTATTCCCGAATCAATGGTCAAGCCCTTCGGAGACAACCATCTCATCGTCTGCTCCAAGGCCCTCTTCGGGAATCTATATGACTGCGAGAGACGACTCATCATCGCAAGTGAGCATCGCTTCCGCGACCACAGCTCCGTCCTTTGTGGAAGAAAGCCGCGCAATCGAGCATATGAAGTTTTTGGGTTACAAGGACAGCATGTATGCCATGACGTCTTCCGCATTGCACGAACCAGTACTTATGCCACAACAGGTTCCGTATTGATAAGGAAGCGAAACTACACCAGACAACGATGTTGGTTTACTCAAGAGCCCATACTTTGACTGAGACTTACCATCATCGCAGGCATGTCTTCCTCACGGACATGGACGAGGGAAGGCTTTTGCCCGTGGAGGCCACTAATGCCAAGAACATACTGGACATTGGTACCGGCACGGGTGACTGGGCGCTGTGAGACCCTCTTCCCTCTTCTTAGTGCTCCGTACTGACTTTGGTAGGGACGTGGCTGATGCCAACCCCAAAGCAACAGTCATTGGCACAGATATAGCGGCTATCCAACGTACCAGTTACCTCGGCAACGTAACATTCTATGTCGATGACGCCAATAAAACTGATTGGGCCTGGGGTCATCGTTTCAACTTTGTCCATATACGAGGCCTGAATGGCGGGATCAAGAGTTGGGCAGCGACACTTCGGGAAGTAGCCTCTTGCTTGCATGCTGGAGGTGTAACTGAGATTTCCGACATGGTCTGGCGTCCACCAAACCCTCCAATTCCTGGCAGCGTTTGGTTTGACTGGTACAAGATGTTCAAATTCCTTACGAATGCCAAGGGTCTTGACGTTGACTTGTACGAGAATAACCGTGCCCAGGGTGAGCTAGAGAAGCTTGGCCTAGAGGTTCTGTTCTATTCCAGCCGCAAACATTCGGTCGGATACAAAACACACATTTACGATGATCGCAGGGTTCTCGTTTGCGTTGTTGAGCAGATGAAAGGAGCCTTGGCCCGGGCTACGGAGGTTGTGCCTTGGCCTGTGAACCTAGGCAGCCTGATGCACCGATTGGAGACGGAAATCTTCGACAAGGGGGTCGTAATCGAGGTGTAAGTCTGGAACTCCTCCGAAGATCGCAGATCGAAGCTGGATGTCTGACCTGGCAGGTGATAGATTCAAAGTCATTGCCCGAAAGCCCGCAGGGCAGTGATTTAGGCTATTCGAAGGAGACTGATGATGATCTTGCATTCTAGTAATGGCATGAGTGTCTTGTTTTTTTGTATTTAATAGAAATGTACTATAATTGCATTATACTGAAAGGTCAGCTGAGCCAACTGGTGCGCGCACCAAGAGCCTGAAGCCTTCGGCTGGACACAGCCGCTTTCTTTGCTCAAGCTCGGGATGAGGGATCTGCCTTGATTAGAGTCCAAGATGCATTTTCTGACCAGCCCCTTAGTTAAGGTGGCAAAGAAGTGTTGGGATTGCAAAGTAGCTGCTGACATAAAAGATGTCCTCGGATTGGCGATTGAAGAACTCCTAGTAATCCATCTTCATTTCATGCCACTGGTGGTTCATGGTGTCGCCACAGACTCGACTGCAGAGAGGGCCTCAACATCAAAAGCCCATTTTCCCGGTATGGCACCTTCGGTAGCAGATCTTCGGTGTTAGTAAATGGTGTATCATTCCAGAATGATAAATCTGCCGTGTGATCCACTGCCATCTATAAGATCAAGGTCCTGCCGTCGACCTCAGGGAAAACATATCCCCTCAACATGGATGCGTGTTCCATCTTGCCAAAAAACGCCAATCGAAAACATGCCTCCCAACCACTTATATGACTACGTCCTTCTCAACGATGATGCCTTTCTCTTGTGTTCCACATTCATGATGCCTTCACCACGCGCCGGGAACTATTTCCCACCCCCGCATGACCTGCACGACTGGATTGACGCCCAAGTCTGCGCAAGAAAAGATGTTGGATCTTTTCGAGCTGAGATCAACCATGGTGGTCAGAGAATCAAGACGTGCGTGGCTTCATCTATGCAAGCGGTCATGGAAGGAAGGACGCTGACAAGACACAGGTCTGTGAGAATCTGGAAGACGGTTGAGGAGTGTGTTGCGACAAAATCACGTCTTCGCGTGGCAGCCAACATTATGGCGAATTGGACCATGGGAAATTTCTTGGCGCAGGAAGGCGCCAGTGTTTTCCAAGGATTGCCATCACAGGACTATCTCATGAAACCATCACTATATCAGACTACGAGAATTTTCGAGAGGCTCTCCGCAAACCGAGATCTGCTACCGAAGGATGCCCTCCCAGCACTAGGCGTCCAAACGCCTGACGGGGTCACACTGGGGTTTTTTGTACTAGTGAGCTACGCGTTGGCTTTGGATTCGGCGGAAGTCGCGCACACAGGGAGCATAAAGCCCGCGATGCACGGCGCATAAGTTATGTTGAGGATGGGCTGATGACGGGGCTTGAAGTCCCGCGTTCTGGTTTCAACACATGTATTTCCTTAAGCCATATCTGATCGGATCTTAGAAAAGTGAAAGTATGAATTCACCAGATGCCTTCTTGGGCCTGCTGACGCGCGAGCTGAGACTGCCCTTCGATAAGGCCTCGACATGCATGTTACACCTGATGTAGGGTGATGCTTTGGACTGGGCATGGCCACAGAAGAATGGTCGAGCAGGCGCAGGATACTGTAAAGCGAATACCTGCCAGGATGCATCAGACCACATCAGGCATGAAATCAAGGCGGAGCCCCCTAGGATCTGCTGGATTACTCTAAAGAGGCCTGTGCGTAGGCAAAAATGTAGGATACAAGGGAGGCCAGAGAAGGCACGACGAAGACGCAGAGATCATCCATTATTCTACGTCTATTCATGCACCCAACCACTGCAGGCTGAATGTTGCCCGTACCTCACTCGTTCCTTGCTGAATCAAATGTGATAGTACCGTAGTCATTGGTTGCTCATTCATTTGACTTTGGATCCCAGAGTATTTATAAGTTCCTTGAAAGCCACTCCCACCCACTAACACAGGCTCTCAGCATTTACTCAAGTCAACGCAACCAAAAGGCCCGCCAACTTGCTTCCTACCGTTCATCTTGTCTTTGCACTGCTAGATATCAGGCAGCGAAAGATGGAAAGGCACGGACGGGCTGGGGAGGCATCCGAACCTGAATCCCACCCCATGAGGGAAGGCCGGGACAGGTCGAAGTCGACGTCTTCTAAGAACATCCCAGGAAACGAAATCGCCGCAGTCGACTTGTCACAGACCGAAGAAGTACCCAACAGCGGCATACTGCGGGTGGGTAGAGGTGACACCTGCACAATGTACCGAGTTGGACAACAGATTGGTTTGGGGACCTTCAGTGCTGTTTACGAAGGTGTCAGACTCTTGGATCACAAGCAAGTGGCCATCAAATTCGTTAGTGAAGCTCTGCCGCGCACCCCGCTGACCAGAGAAATGCAGCTCATATGGCTACAGGAAGCGGGCAATTCTTCTTACTCTCATCTTCAGGCGGAATACCGGACCTACAGAAGCCTCAAAGGATGGAGTAAGGCACTCTAGTCGAAACTGGAACCCACCAACTGGCTTACCATTGCGAACAGATAGAATCCCCGATGTAGTCTTTTTCGGGGACCACGGCCGCAGTAGAATTCTGGTCATGGATTTATTCGGACCTTCTCTTGAAGATTTGCTTGATCATTGCGGACGAAGGTTTACAATTGAGACCGTCGTTATGATTGGATTACAATTAGTACACAAGCGTATCCGATAGTTTTGTTCGACCCAGCTGACTCCCCACCAGATCACGATACTGGAAGAATTACACGATAAGGACTTCATTCATCGTGACATCAAAGCAGAGAACTTTGTGATCCAGGGCGGGACAGAGCGGCCTAATGGCGCACGAGCAATCGACTTTGCTACGGCGAAAAAGTACCGAAGCGGCAACCCTCCAACGCACATTACGTACCGCGAGGGACGGCAATTTACTGGAACGGCACGGTACGCCAGCATCAACACGCATAGGGGATGCGAACAGTCAAGGCGAGATGACCTCGAGGCTCTTTGGTATATGCTACTCTACTTCATCAGAGGAAAGTTACCGTGGCAAAAGTTCACGACAACTTCCCTATCAGAGAAGCATGGGAAACTTCGAGAAGCCAAGCAGACGACAACAATCGAGGAGTTGTGCGAGGGACGCTCTGGGCTTTGTGCGGGCCTCCGACACATTCGCCGCCTAGGCTTTGAAGAGGATCCTGACTACAAGTACCTCCGAGACCAGCTCGTACAGGCTTTGAATGGCGGCATTGGAGATATTGAAAACCGTCAATACGACTGGGACAAGCTACCTTCGCCGGTAAGGCTAGCCGCACGATCACCAGCTCTTCCACTGCCACCCCAGACCACAAAGGTAACAGACCCGTCCACAAGTTTCCACGAAAAGTATCCTACAGACAAGCGAAAGACCCTCGAAGTTATCGTCAGGGCAACTGGAACCTGGCTAGGCCATCCCTTGTTCACGGCGAAGAGCAAACAACCGAATGAAGATCTCATCATGTACGACGCAGAAGCCCAGGCAGTTCTCGGAGAAATCGGCAAGCTTGCGAAAGACTGCATTTGGAGACTTCAGCAACCTCGCAGGGATTTGGTCAGAATGAGGGCGCGACTGAGAAGTGATGTTGCGCACATCGTTGGCATCCCAGCCGTCGACCCAGTCGAGGAGGCTGTAAAGTCCTTGTTAGGTCTTTCAGATCAAGCGTCATGGGACTTTCTAGTCAAAGGAGGCAGTGAGAAGACGTTAGAATTGAGGGAGGCCTTTCAGAAGGTGAAAAGCTTGGCAAAGCGCGAGCTGGAGGGCTTGTCCTCTCCCGAAATTCGAGAGGGAGACCAGCCGATCACGCCAGAGGACAACCGCGGGCTGGAAACGTGGTTTACCACTTCTCATTGCTAAAGTATTGCACAGGTCGGCTGGCTAGACAATACGAATCAAAGAGCGACACCACTTGGCTAGATAGATTGTTGGAATGTCACGTCAACCATTTATTCACTGTTAACTAATGTCCTGATCCTTCTGAGGTAAAGTGCTGTTGATAGTCTTGAGTATTGGGATGAAGTTTTCAGAGCAGGGCTGCGCAGTACGTGGAAGCACCACTCTGTTTCAAAAGTTCTATTTGGTAGAGCTGTAGTGCTCATCCTTCGTAAAGCTTTACTCTCTCCTCGGGGGATTTATGCGTGCCGATTCATCGAGCCAAGGCCATGATTCGTCAACCAACCAGGCGATGCATGTCTTTCATGCGGCCAACAGTTGTCGCCACAGTATCAAAACTCTCTTGTGATACGTCAACGCCTGAAAGAATTGTTGAAACTCAGTGTAGGATGAGTGGAAAGCATGGATGGCCAAAATTATTCATGAAATTCATTGTCGGAGATTGCTATAAGTAGATGGCTGTGCCGCTTCCAGGTTCTACCTTGATCTTGATCACAGGCACTATTCCAAGCAACTTTGAAAGACATTTCTTCAACGTCAAGGGGATGGTTTTCACCATGAGACTCAGCAAAACTGATTGGGATGAATGTGATGACCTCGCGTCTGACTTTCCGGAGTATATCGGCACCTTCGTTAGCGAGGCGTACGGCTACTGTAAGTCTGCTTCCTTTGGTTTCTGCCATGCTTCATTAACAACGTTAGTTCTTACTCTTCCTGAATTGGAAGATGGATTGTACTACACCGATATTAAGGAAGAGAAGGATTATTACGATCTCTGGAAGCAGCTCCTGCCCATAATTTCTGATGCACCAGACGACTTGAGGCAGACCTTCGAGCCTATTTGCCAAGGTGCGCTGGAGGAGTTACGAAAGGAGTACAAAAACTTTCGGCGTCTTTGTACTTTCTTGAAACGAATGATCCGGGCTATCCGCAACTACATCATGGAGCGGCAGTGAGGGCACACTGCGGACGACCAAGGGCGCTAGCCATCTGAGGTACGGGGCGGTTCGAGGGCTTCAGGCGGTTGCTCGTAACGCCGGCGCTGTGGCCTATGAAAATAAAAGCTTCATCGGCGTGGTTGCTGGCGACCTCTACCCTCTTGGCACGTACGAAGACTGGACATTTGACTTCGAGAGGCCGGACCTGGAGCGTCACCCTGTTGTGTGACGGCTTCGTATGACAGAGGTCGGCAACTGCTTTAGGTTTCTGGAAACTGCGGAGGATCCATTAGCCATGCTCGTATAAAGAAGAAGAGCCGGACGATGGGTAATGGTAGTTGAGGTACAATATAGCATTATTGACAACGACCAGATCACTGTGTCTTCACTGTGGTCTAGAGCCGACTTACCGGTGGGGCACGGGCCACAGGCGCCATAGTGGCGCCTGTGGCCCGTGCACGATCGACTCACCTACATTGCACTTCCGAGCGCAAGTTAGGTACGGAAGGGAGGCATGTTCGGAGGCATACGTAGACATCTTCAAATCCGGGTATGGCTTGGCTTCTCTAAGTTCTGTATAGAGTAGATAACGCCTGCCGAATAGCACATACTTCAAAGAACTTCAGACGAACATGTCGAACGGGAAAGGGCGCGGATGCTCCCCCCTACGAGCTCTCGCAGGGAGTAGATCAGGTTCTCCTTCTTGATCAAATTAATCTGTAACTAAGAGCTCCATGCTTTCCATTGCCTATTGCAGTTTGTGAGAGCGAGTGTTCTCTCCGAAGGCGCGGAGGGCCTGCGTTCTTCAAAATAAGCGGCTCTTGCATGGCTTGAAACTGTTTCAGAGGCGCATCACGAGCAGCGAAGATCCCGTCGCACTGGGCGAAGGAGAGCCGTAGTTCCAGGAAACACAGTCCAGGCTAACCTTCCGCCTGCGAAGCGAAAGCTATCGGCTACGGTTTCGTTCGGGCCCGACCACCCGCAGTAAGGTATTCATGAGGGGATGGAGAGTCTGCGTAGCTGTGTGCCCGGTTTCGAACAAGGCAATGGGATTGAGGATGGGAATCAGTGGCCACTAGATGAACAACCTCTCGGCAAATTCTCATACATCTTCGTGTTATTGTAACCACTCTGTTTGTGTAAGGTGTAGAGGGAGCCAACGACTTCCAGCACCTGACTCTATGTCATATACTTGGAAACGGCTTTGCTATCCATTCAGCTGCATCACTCGAAGCGTAGCGGGTTCATGATACCGAAGAAGAAGTCGATTCGACTCAGTCACATTGTCCGTACTGATGTCAGTGCAAAGAGCTATCTGCTAACCATGCTCATTACATCAACCCCGTTTGGTCCCTGTTCTAGGCCTTATTCTGGGCGCCAAGTCCCGCTACCGAGCCTCAATCCAGGTGGATTTACCCGCCGGCATTTACAAGGCCTAGTTCTGGTCCTTGGGCTTGATCGCCGAAACTACGGTAGGCGAGATATCATCATGAGCCTGCCTTCCGCCGAATTCTGACGAATACCTGCCGCCATCCTCAAACGACAAATCCGCCGTGGGTGGGCAGATTGGGGTCAGTAATGGTCGTAGGCGAGAAGTTGCCTACGTCGGACGCTGCACTGAAGGTGATTTCGCTGATTTGACGGAGACGGCCAGTGTGGCGGTCGCTTATGCCTGAGACACCGGGCAATACGCGATCCATCATTCCAACGGCAGGGTCGGTAGCGTTAATGCGACTGACAACACCACGGGCCGGGGAATCAGCGAGGGAGTAGGGGCCGAGGACACCTGATAAACAGGAGGCGTACAAAACATCGTTGTCGAAACAGGGCTACAGTGTAATGGCATGTCGGTCAGACGGACGCGAGGTAAGGTGAGTTACCCGAATGCGTATGATTGTCAATAACCTCCATGGAGGTAAGGCCTGTATCAGAGAGCTCAAGAGGCATTGAGGTATCTAAGTGGTGGATGAAAGGTACGACCGCCTCTGGATGACAATTCTGTCTTGGACCGCTTCTCCGACGGCCAGCATTAGCATATCGTTGGGTCGCTTCGCATTCATGTCATCACGGTGTATTGGATGGGAAAATAAAGATCAATCGCTGATAGTCTCATCCGGTCGGTCATCCGTTGCCAACGTCTTTGTCCAGACGGACTGCTTCGTGGATCCTTGCCAGCGAAAACAAAACTCCCGTCCTCCTGTGTTTGCAGAACCCATTCCATCCGATCAGTCTTGATCTCCTCTTTCTCGTCCCTGAAGCAGACTTGTCCCCCGAGCCAGTAGGTACTTACCCACAAATGCTCCGCGACATCTGCTGTGGACGACAGACCGATAACGGGTGGCTTGTGTGTTCGTCTGCTAATACCTGGGAGGGCTCGACTCTTAGATGGAGGACTTCTGGCAGCAAACTTCGAGTCAGGGCTTAGTGGCTGCCTTGATCGCTTTGCACTGCCGGCGGTGAAGCCTGACATGAAGCTAGATGTAAAGCTTGTTGCCGAATCGCCTAGCTCAGGGAGCGCATAAGCCTGGATGCATTCGTCGACATTCGTAGCGCCAGCGACAGACTCGCCGTGAGTGTCTGGGAGAGGGGAGTCTGTACAGTCGACGAACTCGTCCGAGCTCTCGTCGTCGAGAAGAGACTGGATCGTGCTTATCGGGTCACCTTGGGGCGCTGTGACAGTTTGCTGGGGTGGTTTGGCGTTCGCAGCTCGGATGAAATCATCGCGGTGTTGCTTTGCTACATCCCTCGCATTCCTGAATGCAGTAGCTCCCTGGACGAAGGTGTCGCGATCGTTCGTCAAGGCAAAAGCCTTCACCTGAGACATGTGGTACTCCGGCGGCCCTCCCTCGATGGTCGGCGCCGTGAGGTGGTGGGCGTACATCTGAAGCTGGCCGTTGTGGTATGTCGAACTGAAGGTGTAAGTGCGGCCGTCGTACTGCGGTTCCTCTCTCCCATAGTTCTGTAGGCTGTGCATGCCACGAGATCCAACCGCCCCGTCGTAGCGAGCTTGTCGTGTTGCAACAGCCACGCTGCCATCCGGACCCTTGACTTCCACGAAGAAGTTGGGCGCCATGGGCTTGTCCTGCATGGATGACGGGATAATGTGACGAGCGAGCTCGTTGCGAGCAGGTCGAGAAAGTTCTTCGGGATACGTTCCGTAGTAAATGTCTGGCTTGGCGGGTGCGATTGTCCCGTCTGTGAGCTGCTCCAGGTTCCCAAATATCGTATTTCTTGCGGATAGGTGAATGGTCTGGTTGGGACCAAGGATGACCGGGATCACATTAGCCAGCACGTCGTCTTCGTCTTTAGCCCGGGCATTATTTTCCTGGAACGCCTCAAAGGCACCATCAGAAAACTTGGACGGCGAGAGGGACGACCTTGCTACTGTCAAGGCCTTTGTGTGACTTCCGCCAAATCCGGCTTTTGCGACGAATACGTTGCGTGAACGCCATGGTCTGTCAGATGCTGTTCGAAATCGCGGTTGTAGGGCGTTGACCTCTTTGATTTGTTGGTGACCGAAGTGGGAACGGTGGATGGTGGGTTTGTCGACTTGCTACCGCCACTTGGCGACGACTTGCTGGAACTCATAACGGCAGGGACGGAACGTATCGTTGTCGGCTCGGGGTGCTGGTACCTATGTCAAAAACGCGTCCTAGTCCGGGCCTGCCCTGTTACATACTCCGCTTAGGTCACGCAAGTCTGGTCCACCGTGCCTCGCGAATCGAGCAAGGTCCCTGGGAATTGCGGTGTTTGCAGAGTGGTGGGCGAGTCCGTTCGGTGGAGCTCGAGGAGGGGGAGGATCAGAGCGTCGAGTACTGCTCCGTCGGTCGAGTTCTTTCAAAGCTCTGCGGGTCAGATCGATCTTTGACAGTCTGTCCCAAAACTCGGGAGGATATTCCCAAGATGCCCAGGTGTCGAATTCAAGCTCGCTTCTCGTTGTGATCCTCTTCGCTGGAGGGTCTCGCAGATGGCTCTCGGGACAGAAGTCGCCTGTTGGTTGCCTTTTGCGCTTCTGTGGCGGCGCCATGAGCAGGTGAGGGGGGGAATCGAGAGCATGATACGAGCGGACTGGGGTTGTTGCATGCAAGTTGCCGTCGACAGCTCTGTTTGAGCTTGCGCTGGCTAAAGATGCTGCGGAGACATGAATGGCGCGGAGAGGCAACAGCCAATCATTAGCCGCCCGAAGTGAATCGAAGTGGAGTTGAACTGGCCAATTATGATTAGGTGGGAGGCAATGATTAGTCATTGGGTGCCATTGGATGTGCTGCTCACTCAGTTCTAAGCCACAATAAGCACGATTGGAGAACTCAACTTGGAGGCTCAGAGCGAGTAGGCCCTCATTGGCCCACGCTCCCGTGTCCTTTGCTGCTGTGACGCCACTAAGCTAGGCCGACGTCGACGTGATGTCCAACAGCCACGATGCCAGCGCGTGATTGCGCGACACCACCTTCAACACCTCGAATGCCGGCAGCTCGGGCTTCAGCGGCTCGATGGTATTCCACCTCTTAGGCAGAACGGCGGGTCTCCTAGGCCGAACGATTTGATGATAACGCAGACGGCAGGCGAAACGGAGCATTGACGGACCAGCAACGGATTCGCAAGCCATCTATCCTGCCAGCGACACCCAAGTTGCTGGGCAAACAGCACCCCATTGCCAGACTCTTCCCTGCCGAGCCCCTACACCACGACCACTCAACCGTACCGACCGACAGCCGACCCTGAGCCCCTGCCGGCGGCCGTCGCGGAGTTTAGCATGCAATGGCAGCGCAGGCCTGGCTCTACTAGGCGCAAATAGATGCAAACAGCCCGTCTCTGAAGCGCTCTCGTCGAGATCTAGAGCACACGCAGCGTGGGGAGCCAGGAGGCACTTTGTCCGCTGACCGAAAGCTGTTCGGACTCCAGGAAACCAATGATCGAGACCCAGCTTGAGGCCTTGCACCATGCCACCGACATCGGGCGAAGGAGGCATAGGGCTTCATGTCGACGTTGGTTGCATAAGGGCAATCGTGTCAGTCACTGACACGCATCCTGTTCTGAAGTCCTCCAGCATGTGTATCGATGACATTGCTATCAAGAGCTAGCTTCACGACACTACTCGGCATCCTTCTTATCTCCTTCCGTCGCCCTTTTCCTCACCTCATTAGGGTATGCCCTCGCTCTTGAGCTTAGTTCCCGTCGCTGGCCGTCGAGAGTTGCCTGCCTCTGGCGATTAGTCCCTGGATTTTCGACTATAGCATGTGTGGCAACATCGGTTTCAACCCGCGCCGACGATCCAAAACGACTCCCATATCGGTCTTGCGACAGTTGGCGAAGTGATTCATCCGTCATGGAACCGATCAATTGCGCCGACCTACCCTTCGAAAGCGCTTTCTTGACATCAAAAACGTCGGCCAAGGTTGTGACCACGACCTGATCGCTGTCGCCATCGGCAACAACCTCGCCAATCGTGTGTATCCTCTGACGGGATACCTCCCCAGAAGCAAGTTCGCACACCTCCAAACACTCCTTCAAAGCCTTGATGTCCTGTTCTAAACGACTCGTCTCACGGTCGCTGGCAGCCTTCCCATCGGATACCAGACGGTCATAGCGCTCCCGAAGACGGCCGAGGTGCTCGGCGACGTTATTGCGATTATCGCTCAGGACCTTGTGTGTCTCCCGATGTGCTTCGAAACTCGTAGGCTCAGCCGTGGCAGGATGCGCTGGTGGTGTCTGAAGACGTGATGGTCGTTTTTGGTCAACCAAAGAGTCAAGGTAGGATTGAGCGTCCTCGCAAATGCGAATGCAATGCGCGGTCACTGCTCGCTCGTCCTTGAGGTCGATGTTGGAGGCGCCTGGAATTTCAGAGGTGAAGAGTGCCATCTTCTCGTCAATCCGTTGCAGATGAATCTTAAGGTCGTAAGAAGTATCTTGAACCATCTCGCTATACCGCTCAAGGACGTCTTGGGTGGCTTTGGACATTTGTCTAAAACGGAAAGTTCAGTCTGACTTCATCTCACTGAAAAGAAAACATACAATGTGATGGTACCAAGTCCGACTGAAATCGTCGACTTATATCCCGAGAGAGTGTCCATGAATTCGTTGATGTCACCCTTCATGAACTCCATCTTTGTCCAGTCTCGAAAGCCCATACTTGATTTCCCCTTGAAATCCTCCATGGCATCTTGAAATTCGTGACACAGTTGACGGCAACGGTCGACGGGTCCTTCCAGAAGTGTAAGCATTGATGCTTCGACATGCGCTACCTCCTGCAGTGCGTCCAAAACAGTGATGAGGTCAGTGAGCTGCTCCACAAGCCTTCGCAGGCTCCTGTCGCGGTCCCTGAAGCGCTGAACAGTCTCCTTCAGGGACCTTGTCGTCACGATAGCAGCTGTGACAACACCAAGAATCGAGGCGGAGATGCTCAGTGGGTCGGCCATTTTGAATGTAGGTAAAGGTGATCTCATTATTCGACAGGTCGACCGAGGGGGATGATGGCGGTGACAACCTGATATAGCCACCAGCGATCCTTGTTATGGCAGGGGGCTGGCGGGGCTCTTCTGTCCTGGATCGAGAAGCGCTGATGAGCTTGCCGCGTGGGTACAAACAGTCGTATTCACGGGAAAGCCGCGAGCAAATAGTGCTGTTTCCCCTCACCATGAGGCCAGTCAGGCTGCTAGCTTTGTGACAGGGGCCGTCCTCATTGGCCCAATAATGCCAGGGTGTCTCTGGTGCAGGTGGTCTGTGCTTTGTCGTCCGTTACAACCACCAAGAGTTTCGACATCCAGCGATCTCGCGGTGTCGCGAAGCCCCCCGTCAGCACAGCACACGACACACGCGGCCAGACCTACTCGACCACAAAAGGCAGCGAGAGCACACAAGGTATCTGAAGAAGAATCAGTATTAAGGATTCTGGCTACGGCAAGTCTACAGCTGCCGAGAAAGCGTCCGCGGAAGCCACCCAGAAGTTGAGACGTAACGAGCAGTGCTACGTTACACACGAGTCCTAAAGAACTCCTGTACGGAGGCATCTGAGGTTGACATGATCACTTGTACTGCCCCATCGTCTAGAGTAATGCGCCTCGCCTCAAACAGGCGATCGAGTGACGAGATCAGCATTTGTTGCCCGCCCATTCCCACCTTCACGTCCTCCACCACGTGGACTCCGCGCATGGTGCTATGTGACTCACAAACACGTCGCCGGAACTGGCCATCGGCGCCTGGGGCTGATTTGCGAACATCTGGAGCCTCTCCAGCAAATAGGCGTCGTGTGCCTTGTCCATCGTTTGCCCGTAGATAGAGGAGCACGTTGTTCAACCTTTCGCTGCACTCCCCCAAGGCGAGAAGGGTCACGGTATCAGCCCAAGATATGGCTTCAGCTGAAAGCACCTCTGCGTCTTCGTTGGCCTGCTTCCCGTTCGATAGAGACCGAAGCCTCAGCTTGTTGATGTCGGCAAGCCGTTGTGCACACGTTTCGAGACACATCCTTGTGCGTTCTTGTTCATTCTCGAGTCGGTGAGCGTCGGCTGGTGGAAATACCGAGCGGGGGCTAGTATGGGGGTTTTGTAGCGTAAGGTTAATCCCATTGAGATGGTCATCGAGGCCCTGTATGGTAGATGGTGTCATCGTCTTACACTCGCGCAGCATCTGCCGGACGAGCGTACGGGGCTGTCGTCGGAGCCTGTTTGCCGAATTTCCAGCTGGCTATGTCGGAGCGTTGATCAATACCATGGGAGATGATCGCTTTATACCAAATGCTTGTTCGTCAAGCCCTAGCGTCAGTCTCCATAAAGTGTGCCGTCGGTGAGTGACGCAAGTTAGCTTCGGCACCGTCGGTGTGTGCGGTGCAGCTGACGACTAGTGGCCAAAACTCGACACCTGCTAGACAGCAGAATCCCAGGCGGAAGCGAGGACCAGAGGACGCAGCCGAGACCTCCAGGCTCATTTTGCTGATGGCGAACATCCGTGAGTGGTCCCGAAAGAAGCTTTGCGCCCTAGAAAGCGCCTTGATAGACTAGACAGTCGCGGTGATGAAGGCAAGGGACCCTGATGCACCGCACAGCGGATCTGCCATCTTGCACCTGCAAAGGTGGCGAAACCTTAGGATAAATCTTGTGGTCACAAGGAACATGTGTATGACGCCGTGAGCCTTCAGCTAGGCTAAGGGACGGCGAGACCGGACAAATCGGACAGCGAGTGGTTCGTGGTCCGTGGTCTAAATGGTAACAGCCTTGTCGGGATGGTCTATTTCATTCTGTTACGCCGGACTTCCCGGTCCTAGGCCGTAGGCAGGATCGGTGACGTCCATCGATGGGCTTCGAATACTGGGTTCTGTTTGATGGTCACATAGTTAGCGGATGTGAAGAGCCGAGATGGAACACAGAGTAGACAAATGATCGGAATGTTCCGAGGCCACAAGCCTGGGGCTTTACTGTAGATGCTGATCATTCGTTGTCGTTTGCCCGCGCAGTCGCAAGATCCTGATGGTGTCCAGCTTAATCCATGAACAAGGTGATAGACAAAACCTTGCGACGTGTTTGACGCGTGATCATTTGACTGCGTCTGTAGCGCAAGCCTCAATCCACTCTGGTTGTGTGGCGCAGCGACAGTGGTATTCGAGGAGGCCCCTTGGCGAATTGTCTCCTCCCAAGTCAAACGCAAACACGAAAACCTCAAAAATTGAACCCCGGTACGCGCTGAGGGCTTCTCGGAGACGGTCGTCTCTGAGAGTGCCCACTGGGAGAGAGTGACCCCCACCAGAAGCTGACCTCCAGGAGAGGATGGCTTCCCGGAGAGGCTGACCTTCAGAGGTGGGTCCCCTCCGGCAGAGGCGAGACTCCAGGAGAGGCTAAACTCCAGGAGAGGCTGACCTCCAGGAGAGTCATCAAAGACGTCTTGGTCGATACGGGACCACAGTCTAGCTACAGGGGCGTGTGGCAGGCAGGGACTGGGATGTCAAAACGGAGGTCACCGTTCGAGCCAGTGTACGAAGTGGGCCAGATCTGGCTCTTTGTTGACGCAGCAGGATGACAAGGATGCCTCGTCGCGAAAGAGGTCACCATTAGCTGCAGTGGCGACTATCCCAGATGTTAAAGCGGGGCAGCCTGTTCACGACACACTTTCTGGGTCCATCAACTAAAGTCCAGATCTAGCCCTTTAAGTCGATTTGTCACTGACTGAGAAACTAGGCACGCGGCGGTCACGTACGCGAAACAACGACGACATTCAGCACTCTTGAAACGCGAGGAGACCTGTCTCTTGTCCTTTTCCAGTCCTCGGACTACGTCTTGTATCTAGAAGAGACTCTGAATTTGCTACGAGGACCGTACGTTTCACACCAGCATGAGCTCCAGCCACAATGCAAGGTACGATTGTGCCTACAGATGACAGTATTACTCGTGGCCTTCTAAGCCCGAAGGATATTACTGTCAAGCTCGGCACTCTCCGCGATCGTGACAACGGGATCTTTAACATTTCGGCGACACGGGCCTATTCTCAATGGGACTGCAATTCGGGAAAGATGTTTGTACACTTGGAAGCACGGTCGTGGTGGGTATCGCAGGGTCGGAGACGCTGACGGGGAGAGCGCGAGGTCGACGAGGAGTATCTGCTATGTTGCACTACCGCCATGCACGTCATGGTTCGCGCAAACACTGACTGGTTGCCAGTCGAGGTTCGATACGATGAGGACAAGGAGGCTTTTGAGGGACTGGAGAGCGTCGGAGGCTGGAGGATTGAGGTGAGGGATGGAGGGTGTCGGATGAGGCTGGCGGTATGATGCGGGGTGTGCAGGCGTAAGCAACAGGAGTCAATACCAACCGAGTCAGTGCGCACGACTCTTGAGAAATATTGTGGATTTCCAACTACCCAAAGAAATGATATGATTGAGCGGCCCTCAACGCGAGCCGGTTTCTTTTGGGAGCTCATCGAAGCTGCTGCCACAAACATGCCAGGTTGTACCAAAGCCTCTTGCCGAACAGGATTGTGTATGAACTCAACAGCTAACAACTGATGTGCGGCCCATGAGGACGATGCTTCACCTCATTCCTGGCCCACTTAGTCGGCTCGCTTGCGGATATACTGGGCGTAGACTCTATGTATCTGACCGCCATTGTCGTCCTGTACCTAGAAAGCGTGAGAATGTTGCAAATTTCAGGCCAAAAGATTTACGTACGTAATGAAGCGTCGTGCTTGTAGTACTCTCATGAACTGTCCCCCTGCTCCATACGGAATCGCTCGCTTATTCTTCATGAGCATAAGGCCCACGCAATGGTAATTGAGGTAACTTACGGTCCTTCAAGTAGTACACTGTATCTGGCGACGGATAGTACGCTTTCTTGAATGCACCGGCAGGAATAGGAGGGAGATTTTCCGGGGTCGATGGCTGCGGTGGACGTCGGCGAGGCATAGCGCACAAGGTAACAGAACTGTCTTAGAAATTCAATATACCGTATAAAATGTGAGCAGGCGAGATCGAAGGCGGTGGTGGACGATGATAACTTCAAGTTTAGAGGTGATAGTGCGAGGAGTGAAGGAAGTGATAGGTATTACAGGCCCACTCAACTTCCCTAGGATATTCTCTCACAGGTTTTACTATGATCCTTGCATCTCTGTGCCTGGCGTGTGCTCAGTAAAATAACCGCGCGCAACGTGAAACTTTGGATTGCCTCATCTCGAGGCTTGGCGCGATAGATCGCAGTTTCTGCGGTACGCTGCGCTGGAGAGAAGAGACCTACGCTCCCCGAGCTACTGAGCGTTCTGATCCCGGTACTAGAGCACCTGAATGAATAATCCTGAGAGTGGGGGCTGTGATATCTTTGAAATAGATACCAATGAAATCGAAGAGTTATGGCCAACGCGCGCCTAATTGTTTCGGTGTGTTTGATGATTCCCGCCCTATTGGTAGGCATCCGACCTCTGGCCATTGTATAGGAAGCGAACTTGGTGCGCCGATACCAGGGGGGTCAGGGCGTATGCGAGGCACTACGATTGGCTGCCCGGGTTTCTGACTAAGAACCAAGGTGTCAGAACCGCCGACGTCTTCGCGTACCACCAGTTCACCCCAATCCCCAACATCCTACCATATATCTCGTCCAAACAAAGACCGGAAAGAAGCAACTCGTAGCCCTTTCCTTCTACTCTTCATAGAGTTCAACAGCGCTCAACACCTGGCAAGACCTCTGTTACAGATCTGACATGCCAGGCAAGATGCCTACTATGAGCCGACAGGGGAACATCTTCTTTCACGCCGACTTCAGCCTCTGGCATCTTCTCAGGCTAGCGGAACGGCTCCGACGCCGACCGTGTACCTGCAACGACTCTCAAATCCCCAAAGCGGGCGCTTTAAACTGGGCTATATTTCTTGAGTTTGATGATGGCGTCGAATGGGTGTTTCGGGCGCCCTGCTCATCCTACGCTGCCGCCCAAGGCTTCACCGGGCGTCTCCTAGCTAGCGAGGTTGCTACCCTCAAATACGTCAGAGAGCACACTTCTATTCCTGTACCAGAAGTTTTTCATTACAGGTATCCTCCTGAAGCTCCAAGCCAGTCAGTCCCTTCAGCTAACGGTCGTTAGCCCCACCTACGAAAATGACATCGGCATCCCATTTATCCTAATGAGCAAGGCTCCCGGTCATCCCCTTGCGAAGTACGACTGGCGAACATGTACCCATGAACCTTCTGGACAGAGCAGTTCTGCGACGCTTCCACGAGTTTTGACGAACGAAGACAAGAAGAACATCATGCGCCAGCTTGGATGCTACGCTCGTCAGTTATTCGGTCTCCGCTTTCCGACCATTGGGTCGCTCTTCGAAGGCGACAAAGGTTATTACGTCGACGAATGTCTTTCTCCCGGGCACGTTCTAGAAGACCGGGAAACGATTGAGGATATCCCGCGCGGTCCATTTCATCAGGAAGCAGACTATTACTCCTCCCTCGCCGCAGCCCTTCATCTTCATGCTGAGCAGCTTCCAATGGGCCACCATTTCCTCCGTGCGCCTATTCCCGTCCCACAAGAATACCCCAACTTCGCCAAGTACTACGCCGCCACTGATCGCTGGAATGACTTCGCGGCCCTTGGGGGAATAGTGGAGTCTAGCATGAATCGATTACAGTATTGCCTCGCGAGCCAGCTCCTTCAGGACTCTATCATCCCTTGTATGGTACGTCCTGTTAGTCAATCAGCTCCTGGCTTCCCCCTTCATCACCACGACATCAGCGTCCAGAATCTGTTCGTAGACGATGACCTGAACATAACGTGTGTCATCGACTGGGCGTTTTCCTCTACTGGCCCGCCAGCCCAACTTCTCGCCACTCCGGGCCTACCACATCCTAGGGACTTGGTGTTGGATTTATCCCTGGTAAGTGCCTTCCGCTTCGGCTTCGAAACCGAGAATAGGAAGATTGGTGGGTGTGTAATCGAGCCCAACTTCTGGATGGTCGGCCAGATGGTCTCACGGTTCATGCGCTTGGTGAACCTGGATGCATTACAAGACTACAACCACCTGGAGGCACTCTGCACGCTTGTCTGGGAACCTAGGACTCCTGGAGAAGACTGGGACGACACCAATAGTCTGCCAGCTCTATTGGCAACACGAGCAACGAGCCACGATGCGCTCATACTGGCCGGTGAGCTAGCAGATGACGACGAGGCTGAAAGCGAGATCCGTCGGCGGGAGCAGGAGTACTTCGGCGCAGTTGGCGCTAAGAGACTAGCGTTAGCTCATAAGGTGGCAGTTGCCGCCAAGATGAACCCACGGTTTGTGGCAGATAAGCGGCTCTGGCGTTGGATTGATGCAGTTACGGAGTATTACGATGGCGAGATCTGATGGGCTGGGGTTTGAAGGGTGTCACGGCCTCTCTCTGAAAGTACCTAGAAGACGAGTGCCAAAGGATTCATTCACAGGAGAAAACACCAAAGTGACTGGACTACTTCCATCACTAGGCTACAGACCGTTCCAAAACCGCTTGACCCGTCCTCCTCTTAGCTCCCATCTGAGCCGGTGCTCGAAAACTCCTGCTCCACAGACGGGAATCGAGGGCGAACAATGATCCAAATCAGCTTCCTGCACCTCCTTCGGCCAGCATTATGGAAGGAGAACTCGTAAAACTGCGACGGCAACTTCGGGAAGAACAACGACTACGCGAAGAAGCCGGGGGTTGTATTTTCGACGAGCAACAGCAACGAGAAGATGCGGAAGAGCATGCGAGCAAGGAGCCTCGCGCCTCTCCTTACAAACCCCAGCGGGCAGCGCTGTGGGACCACCGTCTGTTTTCCGCTGCGGGAATAGGTGGTCGCCCACCAAGCATGGGCTAGAGTCCATGCGAGATCCAGTCCGCAGCATCCCTTTTTATCACCCCGCCACATCACTAGAAGAGCACTGGGCGTGACCAAGGTCCTAGTGAAACATTCAAGAACAGAAGCGCCTCGATGCACTATTCATGTTGTCCCCTAAGCGATGATGAACATTTCTGCGCTTGACCTGAAGCAGGGCCAGTGTCGCCGGACCGAGGGGTGTAGTCAAGGTAGAAGTATGTGGGCGCGAGTTAAGATAGACGGATGCGTGTGATATTCGGGAGACTCGATGCCGTAAATATTTCATTCGTCACTTCTGGCCGAATCTTCCTAGTAAATTAACCTCTTGATGGGTGTTATTTCGTTGATGTGTATTTTGCAGCTGTTTTGTCCTGTGACGGTTGTCCTCAATCGACGCCGCTCGCTTGACCGCCCACCGGCAGAACCAAGAAATATTCAATAAGTGCGATCTCATATATTTTTTATATCGGGTGGTCCACATTATGAATATAAAAGGCTTGATTGGTTTACAGAGCTGGCCGATTTGCGGTCAATCAACTTAGGCTGACAAATCCTACTTCGTTGTGGCTGTGGTTCGAGTGGCCGGGCGCAAATCAGACCAAAGTGCAACGAAAAGCGTTGTCGCAACCGTCACCATTCCCTCCCTAAGCTCAGAAAGTCCCATCCGCCATGGACGATCTACTGCATTCAAATATCATCAAATAAAATCTCATTGCGAGCGGCCTTGATGCCTCCCGAGCTTCGTTCACTTCTATCTACGAAGGCGCGAGCGCCAGCAGCACTCCGAACGCGTTAGAGCAGATGCTGCTGGTGCAAGAATCGTCGCGAGCCTCGTTCTTGGCCCCTTGACGATTCCGCCGACCCTAACCTCGTTTCGTGCCAGGAATGCGCGCCGTAGCGTCCTCATCGACACGCTTCGATGTTGCGTCGGCACTCCATTCGGTGACGGTCTGCACTCTTTCCATCCACGGCGGCCGTGTAAATGGGTTTCTTGTTTTCAGGTCCTCCATCGGAATTTCGTTGAGCGCAGTTGCCATTTGGAAAATGGCGAGCGGTAGAAGCGCCCGGTTTTTCACATGGAAACGGTCAGTCTTCGAAGCCGGCTTATCTCAAGCAGTGCGTGGAGATCCGTCCATAGCTTCACGGCCCTTCTCGTGAATCGATCCGGTGCACTGGCGTGTGAGCCTCTGCTTCTGCTATTTTTGTGGCAACTGTGATGAAAGCTCCAATGATCACTTGCGCCCCGCCTTTTTGGACACGACTAATGGCTGCTGCTACTTGATCTTTACACCTGTACATAGAAAAGTTTGAGGCATAGTTTACTGCGGTGACACGGTAGCTTTCAACAGCTGTCGTGTGGTCGCCGGGCCAGGCCACGCAGCCTCTTCGACTCCATTGCCGCTTCAAGGCCCTTGGGTGCCGCTCTTGCGATGTATTTGGCATTTACTCATAAAACATCAACTCGGCGGCTGTGCTGCGCAAATCAACATAGAAGGGCGAAAGCCCTACCAAAGTGACCTCAGAGCCCTTATCTAGGGACGTGACATCGCAGATGCGCACATCCTGGCTCTTCAGGACTTCCACATCGCTCTTATCGAGCTGCCGAATTCGGTAGACGAGAGCACTGGCTGGTTTCGGGTGACCCGGGCCAGTGGAGTACTGAATCGTCATCTCCGAGCCTCCAAATGTATGGATCGAATATGTCTCCCCAGGGGAGACGGAGTAGGACGGCTGACTATCCTGGCTGCCGTTTGCATCGTCTAGCATCACGTCGACATAAGGCAATGTTAATACCTCGGCCGAGTCTACCTCAGAAATAACCGAGGATGAGTCTTCTGCGCTACCGTGAACAGGGCCTTCTGGCATCTTGAGCTCTTCGTCCTCCCCCAACGTCTCTGGCTTAGAGGTAGTTACGGGGGCACTCAAGATCTCAATGCTAGGAGCTGAGACCGACTCGCTCTGCTCAATCCCAGCGACTGCCACCTCGGACACCGTCAAAGCAGTACTCTCGACAGGGAAGACCAGGTCAATCTTTTGTCCCTTCCTCAACACCATGTCAATACTTCGGTTCGCACGGCGCTGGAGCGAATCATTCAGCTGCAGTTGGAGTTGTTTCAAACCCGGGAGCGAGGGCAGCATCCATCCAGAATACAGGCGTCCATGGCTCTTCGGGACCCCAGGAAGCCCATTAAGCGCGAGCACCTCGTCGCAAAGGAAGCACGCCTTCTTGTTCGACTGGATGACCCTGGTGCCAAGGGCGTCGTGGTGAGACAAGCTCTTCAAGTACGCAAGCACTTGGACCTCGGCATGGAGTTTTCCCTCTGCGAGGATCCGATATGTGATCCTGACGAAATCGTCATCTGTCAAGAAAGGGTGCTTTCTCATGAACTCAGAAAGCGCTGTTGGGAGATCTCTTTTGGTGGTCTTGGCCGATGCCCTATGTAGCGTCTTGGCGAGGGACGGAGTATTTCCTGTGGCATCAGGACGAATGAATGCGTCAGGCCCGACACGGACGGGCCTTATTGTGGCATTAGCACGGCTCGAATGTTCCTGGCAATGCGGTACAGACGGCGAGCGGCAGTCCGATACTGGCCGATCTTGCTGATGATTCTTCGGTAATCTTCGCAGGACGCCCCGCCCAGAGCTGAGAATGGAACCCGGTGGAAGAGGCTTGTCAAGTCTCCCATTCGAGTCCAGGTGTGCGCCTCCTCGACCAGCGTTGGGAGCTCTGCATCGGTCTGGTGATTTTCAAACCGTTTAAGGGCCGCAACTAGTCTGCGGGTTCCCTTGAGAAAGGCTCGTGCGTCTCTATGCCTTATCGAGGCAACAGCATCACACATATCGCGCAGCACATTTCGAAAGGGGGGTTTCGTCTTCCCCCGTTGGTGCTTGCCAAACCGAAGTAGGGAGAGGATGCGCCCCCGGCAGACAGACACGATGTCGATGAAGACTTGATACTCGAGCTGGCTATCATGCACTTCTGACGGTGAGCAGAAGCAGCTGGCTCGGGAGCTTGACTTCCCACTGGTAGCTTGGGAGAGGGTGTTGAAGATGCGGCCGAGGCCATCACACACTGAGCTTAGGTAGTCGTCCCAGTTGACAGTTCCGATTTGTTCACTGCGACTAATGCCTCGAGTGAGGTGTGATGCTGCTGCTCCTCGGGCGTACGCACTTCTCGGACGGCAACGGCAGTAGTGAGGTTGGCGTTCTCACGGATGGAGGAGAGAACCGCCAGGGCACCGGTAAGTTGCCGCTCCTGTTCGAATGAAAGGGCACGATGACCGTCGTTTTCCACAGCTGCGCGAAGAATTCTGGTCGATGGCTGTGCTGGGACATTGTGCAGAAATTGCAGAAGGGCAATGTTCTCAGCGCAGATGATGGTTGGCGACTTCTGCTGAGGGACGTTCGCGATGCACTCCGTCTGACTGGGTACTGGATGCATCTTGGCAGTCACCGAAGACGGCTTGCGATCTGATGGCGTGTGCTAGGTTATAAGAGAGGAGAGTTCCGGTTCAGCCTGGGTGTCTCAAGGTGTGCATGATCAGGCCACGACGCGGTTGCCGCGAAGTTGACGTTGTGATAGGCTGGCGCCTCATGCAGGAGGCTCACCACAAGTCGCGTCCTTGGGGGCCTGCATGCTGTGTGATTCGGTCAGATTGACGGTATCCGTGTCAGCCATCGGGCAGATAGCGAGGAAGACGGCCATTCTGGCACCAACGAATCGGGAGCGCGCTGTTAGAAATCGCCATTGCTGAATGTTGACGGTAATCAGCGTGGACGGTAGTGGCTTGGAGGAAGCAACCAGAGTCCAGGATCAGGGTGGGGATGTGATTCACGATCTCAGCGCGAGCACCTGACCGCCCTGTGTGTGATTCACAGCTATGCATTTGTGCTGCACGGTTTGAGGTCTCAAATAACGGCAGCTGGCCAATTTTTGGGCCTTAGTGACTGGGACCGCGAATACGGCCCTACGAAGGAACCTCTTTACGGCCCAGAACCAGGGTGTATTCGGCAAGATCATCTACATATAATTCAATACAAAGAGCTTGCTGGAGAGTTTTTCTTCCTACTGTAACAAATCCGGTACTGTACTTCTTTTCCTATCAACGGACCACTAATTTCCACAGCATGCGTGATCGAAAGTACTGCAGCTTCGCAACAAACAAAGCCATACGTAAACATATGATACCTACGGTGATGATGGGCGATTCGGACCGTGAGTAAAAAGAAGAGTGTGCCCTTCTACCTGAACGCGACCTGAGGGAATAATCAGTCAAGCCGCCAGTCTATCAAGCAAGACCGGTCTTTAGCCGTCTTACGCGACTCTACCACATATTCAATGGCATCGCAGTGCTTACAAGCTCCATCTCTATAGTACTTTTGGTCGTGGCCACCTTCTGGACAGAATCCAGGCCTGCGATCACCGGCACTTCTGCGGGGCTTCTCACCAGCTCCATCCTTACTGCCGTGGTCACGGTGGTGGTCACGACTATGCTGCTCTTTTTCTTTGACGGCCACGAAAGCCCAACGAAGTCAGATCTTGCGGTTGCATGGTTGCCTGTCATCCTGATTGATGCTACTATTCTTCAGTCCCTCACGGGACTTGTTGTATGGTTTGCAGCGGTGTACGACGCATGGCATCCTGCAGTATTGCCCTGTCAACTTGCCGTCCTGATCCTGGGGTGCATGATTCTGAGTGTTTGGCTTGCCAAGAGCATAGGGTGAGTAATAAACCAAAGCAGCCTGCCAATGGCAAGCAAACCGACCGCAACAAGAAAGGGTAGCTGAGGAGGCGTAAATGAGACTTCGAGTTGATGCGCCGGTGGTCCTGAAGCACCGCTGGGAAGGGGCTGATAGCGGGGAGCGGTCTTTGAGATTGGTCAGATTTAAGATCGAAGGAGCGGTATGGCTGGGAGTGCCTGAGACAAGTGGTTGGAGGCGGAGATGCGTATCTTCTGATGTATTGAGTATGTAACACAATGGTATCATATGATTTGTTCAAACACTCTCACCACCCAAGCGGCTCACCGATAGGAAATCCTTCAGGTTTCGCTGTCCCAAGCATATCCTGTTCGGTAACGCCTTTTCCTATTTTGACATCTGGACTGTAGGGAGCCCATGGGGCGGCTATCGCGGTGGCTCGGTATCTCATTGCGTAGCATAGCTAGTTTCCGTGTCTTACCATTAGCCGAACACCGGTGAATCCGTCTGAGGCTCGAGAAGATGCCATGAAGATATGATCCTCCTGCGTTAGCAGAGAAGACAACAAGCAGGACAAGGCAGATGGGAACCGCGACACCGGTTACCAGGTTAGCAGAATAGCCGTGTTAAAGGATTTGGTTTGCTTGTTCTGAATTGGCAGTAGAACATCAGCTGCTGAGGGTCCTTGTGTAGCTCTGATCCCGAGACGAGGACCCCAGGTACACGACTGTCCAAGGGCTCACTGACCACGGTTGAAGGACAATAAGCTAGTGACCTGATTTCTGTGGATAGAGTGTTGGATACCCTCTCTTTCAGACTCCCCAGCGAGAATGAAAAGTACGGGCTTGTACAACGCGCAGTGGTTCCAATTACCAGCAATACATCTCTCGCAGCCGTCACAAGAATGGGCTCTACCTGGTTCTCAGTATCGTTAAGGAGAAATCAAGCTGGATTGTGACGACTGAGTCGACTTTGTTGCTAGCGGGTACTAATGAAAGCTCTACCTGCTCTATCGATCCAAGGGAACCAGCCCAGGGGACCCTGCTACCCATATAGCCACATGGTATGCTGCGCTAATACCCAAGAATCTCCGCTTTCTGAAGCTGCCAGGAGCTAACCATCTCGGCCTTTTCCTTCACATTCATTTGGTGGAACGGCTTCCCGTAAAGCTCCCCGTAGCTCATCTTGAAAGCCTCCAAAGCATTCGCGACGTCATGGATGTCCTGGGCGCCCTTACCAACTTGGAACTGCACCTTCCGGGCATGACTCTCATCATGATGAGACTGTGCTCTGAAACGCGCGGTGGCTGTCTCCGCGAGACCGTGAGAAGGCGATCGGCTGGACGCTGGACGCATGCCGGTCTCGGCTTCCGTGTGCCGATCCTCGGCTTCGCACGCTGCTTCGTAAATGGCGGCATCTGCGCCCTTCTTCGTCCATCGGCTCCTGAGGCTCGATCTCGTCTCCCAAACCTTCTTCCGCTCCCCTTCGATGTCCCACATGATCAAGACGTATGTGGTTGGCCACTTGTCAACTATGTCAGATCGAGATCCTCCCCACAGCCCACGGGGGCATTCCCATGCTACCCCCCAAATGCCAATGATATGGCGCTTTGTGTACTTCCATTTTCCGTTGGGTAGCTTCTTATCGCCGTAACGATTCTCCGAGTTGGTGACTTTATGGGGGTCCTCGTCGTTCTTTTCTCTTTCCTCGTACTCGGCAGACTCGGCGAGCGACTCAAGCCGGTATTTTGACGCGCCTCTCTTTCCGTGACGATTGATGTAGAATGTGCCAGTTTTGCCTTGGCCCCAACCAACGGTCTGGATGTGGTCACCATGCTTGGGAATGTGCCTGACAAAAAGAGCTTTCTCGCCGTCCTCGTCGAGTTCATCCTGGTCGTCGTCATCGGTCCTCTGTTTGGTTGCGACGAAAAGTGCTTCTTCGTCTTCGCTGTCGGCTGCCTTAGCTCCTTTGTCATCGGCTGCATCATGACTGTTCTGTTTAGCGGTTGGGATGTGATCGTCAACAGCCGATTCTTTCTGTTCTGTCTTTGTTGTTTCCTTTTGATCAGCGTCATTTTTTATCTGAGCAGTGGGTTTCTTGTCATTGTCACTCTCAGACACGTCTTCCTTTTTCACGTCTTTTTCCAAACCCGCATCGTCGTCGTCACTTCCATCCTCATCCTTGTCGTCGTCGACGTCCATCGGGCCGGGGTTGTGCATCTTGGACAGGTTTGCTTCCAGCTCCTCAACAAGCTTCTGGTTCTCTTGTTTCTGTGTTTCATTCTGCTCCTTCTTCTGCTTTTCCTGTGCATCAGCGAGATCTCGCTTCAACTTCTCCATCTTGGACTTTCTTCCAGCCCGGGCGGGATTGTTCTTCTTGGATGAGGCCATTTTGATGGGTGCTTTTCCGAACCGAATGCCTGAAGTCAGCAGGGCAGTTGAATTATCATTCCATTGCTATGTATTTATGATACTACGCGATGCCAAGTTCATGGCCCTAATGACAGTCATTGTGTAAAGTCCGCTCGTCGGTCCCAAACGAGGTGCTTGCGAAGTGTACATAGGCTGCAGCTAGGGACCAAAGTCCTGCCCTTTAATGACACCTAAAACTGGCTCTACTTCCACACGTCAACTCTACGTCCTAAGCCCGATGGCAGGACCTACGACCCCAGAAGGCTAACATGCTGGTTCATGCATGAACAGACTATTCAGATGATTCTGAATAAATCCCCGCTGCGTTTTCGAGACCGGATGCACGTTCCTTGCGCCAGCTATCTACTCGCAGGCATGGAGTTACACCTCAACCGACAGTCACGCTGTGTTCGACAGGTGACAGACCTAGTACAGCTCCCTATCAAAACAGCCGTCTCCAGTATCAGAACGCTGGCCTCAAAGTGGTCTTGGGTCTTTTCGTCGCGAGAGGTCACAGATACTGGACAGGATGGTGCTGCGTCGCGAGAGGTATATTCCCCTTCCTTGCGAACTGCACAGTACGGACATATCATGAAGGCCACCGAGATACACATAACTCGGACTAAGTTGAACGAGGGATGCAATTGACCCAAGACGAAACTTTACCTGTTACTACGTACTACAGAACTGTAACCTTGATTTTGGTCAAACAATTCGACTGCTGTGCCTACACAGTTTATATTTCCAAATTCAATTGACCTTTCGCCAAAGGGCTCCCTGAGCCTAAAAATAACAAGCCGGTGATCTCTCGGTACTTTTCGCCCAGTAGATAGAGGAATCAATGTCCCCTCTTCAGGGCTTCTCCATCTACATATGCGCTGCTTGATGCACTGATATATAGTGGCGAGCTAGCTGCTGGACTGCGTTTCGGACACCGCTTCACCATGATTGTCTAATGCCTTTGGCACCATCACAGTCTCTGCTCTAGACGAGGTGCAGAAAGAACTCCAAGGAGTGCCAGGGCATATCTGCATCACAGTCGACAGAGAAGCAAAGGAAATCGCCTTGCTCTACGCTGATCTATGATAGTAGCACCGCTTATATTGTAACGTGAAGTCTAACTGGTAGAATGAAGGGAAGGAGGAAAAGTGAGCCTAAGGAAGGATGAGCACGACCCGTAGGAATCAGAATGGCATCAAGGGCGTTTGAATTCTCGTTCGAGCCTATGGTTGGGAAATGGAGAGGGTATCTCTATCATGGAGGCAGTCTACTATTACTTGCCGGCTCGTGCCAGGGCATGTCTGTCATCCGCGCACCTTCTGCCATTTCTTCGGGGCGCAGACATGATGTTAAGAGCGTCATCTAGCCTACGGTATAGAGTCCTCGATCGCGCGGCATGGATGCTTCGTATGGTACAACAGTCTATCGTTCCCACAACTTCCTTGTCGCTGATCATTTTTGAGCCCTGCAGCATTGTGATCGCGGTACCTCGGAGTTTGTTCGCTGAATTTGAATGAGTCTAATGCCAGACAAGGAGGTTGAATGCATTCCGTTCGGGTGTTGTACGGGCGACGGTGCCGACCGGCATTGGACTCGGAAGAATGTTGTGCCGGCTGCTTGACCGTCACCACTTGGCAGGCCATCGGTTGCACTTCGTAATACCACCTATGTGACATCACGACTTCGCGGGGTAACCAGCCCATGACTGGCACGACTGGGCCTCGACGCGTTCATCTCCATTGTGGCCAGCAATCAGCCTCAGATACCCTTACGCGCTTACGGTGCACCGCAATCCCAGAGACGCTTCAGTTATTCTGCGCCTTTGCTTCTACAATACTTACTGACGAAGGCCCCGCCTGCCATCATCGTAGGCGAGAACGAGGTTATGAGTGTCACTGTGACAGCGCTTGCATCAAATCGGTGGACACAATCGCTGGCTGGGGAACATTGGCCAAAGTATTATGATCAGACCATGTGACAGACGAATCCGTTGCGAAGCGTCAACCTCGTCTCGTTCTCCAGTGGGTACAATGGTACTTCACTGACGCTGCCAATTGCTGAGTTGGAGCGTGAACGAAGACGAACATGATTTACAACATACTTTAGAGGCATTCCTAGAAAGACGATCCAGTTCATATGAGAAAAGGACTATCGATCTGATTTTACAACAATGAAGCTTGGGCATTTCTACAGTGTGTACATTGGTCCACGACCGCTTGATCAGTCGAACCACCCATTTTCCCAGTCCTGCCGCTTATCTATCATGGCAGTGCCTCATATTAAAAAGGGAATAAAGCTCCCAAGCAGCGCCAAAGCGCACCCACAGCAGAGGCAGCCGACGGATATCCCAAAAACGTCTCCTTGCTTTAAGCTGATCCACGACGGCAGCACGGATCGCATCATAACCTGAAACCCGACCGCCATCATGAAAGGGAGACAGCATATTAAGCCAAAGAGTAGATTGATCCCGGCCTGTAGAGGCTTGAAGGGAACCATGAGCTTGAACAGGCATGAGCACCAGCCTTGGAGAACGGACAAAAATGCCAGAAAGCCAAAGACGACCGACACGACGCCAGCGATGAAGCAGTTCCTGATGTGAGGCGCGGTGATGACAGAAAGTGCAGAGTCGTTCAGAGACTTGGCATCGGCTAGGGCGTTTTTTAATGCCTCCTGTGCTTCGACTGGGATCACATCCGAGAGACGCAGCGGCAGCCTGTGGCAAGACCTAGCATTCAGGTCGCCGACACAAAGATATCTGGTTCCGACATAAAAGGTCTTGGGGATTGCTGTGTCCACCACATCAGATATATGAGTGGCGACAGAGTTGCCCGCGGTGCGTACTCGGCTCACCGCGTCTGGGAGAGCAGTATTGACCGTGCTTTTCACCCTGGACTTGACAGGATCCACAAAGTCTGGCACTTTGCGCAACTGTCTAGGGAGAATTACGCCAAGAGCTTCGGTCAATTCAAGCTGTAAGGTGTATGGTATTAGCAATAGGCTCCATGCTTGGTCCGTTGCGAGTACCTCCACGATGGCGACTCCTGACTTGGCGTAGCCCGTGGAGAGTGCCCAGGCTGCTAATGCGACGCAGCAAATCAAGCACAGTGCCATGGCAACGGCTAGGGAAGTTTTCCACGTGCCAGTCCTACGCATTATATTTTTTGTTGGTGACGACGTACTTGGTTGTGTTGTTGGCGGTGATTGCGGTAATGTTTTTGGACTGTGCGTTGACCAAAGAAAGATGTCGTCTCCGAGGTTAGAGTGCAGGAGTTTAATCTTAAGGAAAGCCATCGGTGATGAGGCTAGGTCCAAGCGCCGAGAGCCCAGTTCTGGATATCAAGGAAAAGGTCCGTGATGCGCCCCCGAGAGCAGCCCAAAAAGGGCCCTGGCAATGGCCCTAGTATTGCTGTATTCCAGCCCCACCATGCTCTTTCTTGTACTCGGAGCCGAGACGTGAAGCTCGCGTGTACCATTCAAGGGGCAATGAATGAATATGTTTGGGTAAATACACTGCTCCGCTATGGGATTGAGGTAGCTATCCGGGCTTCTGCAACTCCAATGTGGAGGCGGTGACATCACTTCAACCACAATTGAAATTACCCGCTATGTACCTCCTTGACGTGGGCAATCAATTATATTGTATTGAATTCAGTATGGAGAGACTCTGCTTGTTTACTGTCCTCTACATCAATGTCTGTGTTTGCAGTATGGTTGTTGGACCGAGGCGTGGCTTCCCGCCCGGCTACCATCCATCTACCTCGTGTCTCGTTGCGGCTCACCCTTGGGCGTATTCCGCTGCTCTCTGAGATACGTTGCGGTTCTCCTGAACGTCAACGGATACGCATTTCCCTGTATGCATTGTGAACACACAAAGTCACCAATCCGAGGGAATACGTACGATTTGTTCCGAGGTCGGTGGAAGACTGGCATCCGTGCTGAACTCGAACCACCTCGAATACTTCGCACAAAAGTAAATGTCGGCGTCGTACTTCTCGTTGATCACCAAGAGTCTTTTCATGAGGCTTCGCATGCTCTTCGCAAAATTCTCCTTCTTCCGATCCCGCTTTCTTTCGGTTCTCCGGGGTTGCTCAGACATTGCAATGTTCGTTGCTTGATCGAGCAAGGCGCGCGGTATGATGCGTTGAGGTCAGGATGCCACCCGTTTTGAATACGCCCCGGCTGGGGAGAGGATGAGAGGGGGAATTCCCAAGGACCAGATCTGGGACCAAGGCGCCTGTCGCACATGTCACGGGTCAAGCTCAGGGGGCACACGTGCCAGGGCACGTGTGCCGTGACAACGACATCTGACGCTCATGAAACGCGAGGAGGGCCGGAATCTTGTCCTTCTTCTCTCCTCGCGCTACGTCCTGTATCTAGAGGTGATCCTAGCAGCGTTATTGATCGATTTGGATACGAGACCCTCACAGCACAGGGCCCAAAAGAGGACGTGGCCACGAAAGGAGTTTGCATTAGGATCCATTTTTTGGTGCTTTTACTATCGGTAGTTTGCTATAGCTCAAGAGGTCCAGATCTTGGGGCAATAGACATAGTGCCTGGCTTTCTACCCATTCTAGGTCCGGGATCTGATGTACTCTTCATGTTATCCGTACCGAAGCCGTCCGTCGTATCGCACCGCGTCGCGACCCAGCCCACCACTGGGTGTGTATAGTGAAGATGCACCGGGAGTGCAAGTCAACGACGTGCTACAGCATGAATCGATGTCCAGTGCATCATTATCACTACCACCATCGTATGAAATCAACGGCGGCTGATCTGACATCTTTCACGTTTCTCGACCATCGACTCTCTGCGAGCTCCGGGTCCACTTTCCAAAGATGCCGCTGCCAGCATTGTAGACACGACGTCAACCCCCGCGTTGGTATCCGTGTTAACGCGCCGAAACAAGGACTGTATACTGGACTGTTGAGTTTCCTCGCTTGATCTACCAGTGGCATGGTGGTCCGCCGCATCGCTGTCAAGACGTTTTGTAATCAATCGATGAGCAATACGTCTCCGGAGACAAGTTGGTGCATGTTTTGCTTTCATGAAGAGAGTAGTTTCCATCCTGTTTACTTTGAGAACAGCTATGTCTTCGTGATAGGGACAATGGGATCTTTTCTCAGAAGAGGAGGCTTCTTCCTATATATCGGTGTCTAAAAGACAAGAGTAGGGATCTTTGGTGCCAGTGGATATGTGGTGGCCGTGCTATTGATTGTGCGGCCAGAGACGCATGATGGGCTGAAAGACACCTCCATGACACAGACATCAGGGGATCCGAGACACTGGTCGGTGTTGACACCAGGAATCACTTCCTGGCGAATGCGATCTGTGGCGTTGAACTGGAATTGAAAGTGTTCTTGAGATGCTCGTCGAGTCAGAGCATCAGTTTCTCTATCAACACAACATCATCCTCTCCCACTAAGTAGCGCTACCTCTGCAAGAACCCTCAGTTTGACCAAACTAGACCATCCCGTTGTCTTTTCAAGATGTTTGGATCTAGCCCGATGGGCCGACGTGCCACTGTTCCGAACCATTGGACCATTCGTAGCCGATGCGGGGAGCGTCTCGTCTTTCTCCTCGAGCATATGTGTCTGACGAGCAGTCATGGTCCACAACTGCTTGTAGTAGGCTTCATTCGCGCGAGCCTGAACAAGCTGGTCTGTAAGGGCACTGTTGGCTTTAAGGACGTCTTCTAGCCTTCGGTGCTCTTGTTGAAACGCAATGTCGTACTTGCTCCCCGGACAGTCAGACTTGGCTACCTCCACAGGATTCTTCCCGGTCGCGTGGCAGAGTCTGTATAGCTTTTCCGAGGCTTCAAGAAGACGAGTGCTACCACCAAGTGCACCGGGTTGGAATGCACCAAGAGCAGTCTCACATTCGAAAGGCTTGGTCACTGTCAGGACGTTGTCTTTCCTCGACCCTGCAGGCATTGCGTACCTCATCCAAATACTGATCAAGGGCCATCATGGCGTTGGTCGGACCTGTGTAGGCAGGGTCTTTTGTTAGTAGACCAGCGGAATAACGGCCAGGCGCCTGAGCCTTACTTTTGTTCCCCAAATACATCGAAGATCTTATTCCCAATTCATGAACCTCAACATCTGCCCTTCCCATAATAACCACAGGCAAGGGGAGCTGTACGCCCTGATTCAGTCTCAAACACGCTAAGTACTTTGACGTTATCGAACTGGGGCCCGCATGTCGGCCCTAGGTGAGCTTCCCCTGGCCCCCAAACCGATATCGACCTGGAATCCCCACTACGCCCGTGGAAGATACCCGAGGCCGTACATATAACCCGACGACCTATCAGCCGACGATGCAAAGGAATGTGCACCACAGAGCTCACCATGTCGCACGAATACCCCCAGCCCAATGAACTGCCCCGGCTCAGGATGGATCAAGCACCTGGAACATGGAACAATTTTGACTTTACCGAATTTTCTGACTTTTCATTTACGAACGCATCGGATACCCAACAAATGCCCGACGAACTGCTCTTGCAGCCACTCTTAGACCCCAGAATCAGTTCTCCAGATGAGAATGCAGCACAATACACTGCATGGGAGTGGAACGGAAACGACCAGTGTTACCAACCAGAAGACAGCCCAACCCACCAAGACAACAGCAACTTTGATCATGCGCTGGCCGAAGGGACGGACGAAGACATCAGGGTTGATGCAGGTAGTGAGACTATAAGCATCGGCCGGGAGGTGCTTGATCTTGTGCGCAGGGCTACTCAGTTTGAGGAGCATGTCAAGCAGAGGCTAGCCAAGATCGAAAAGACCGTCGAGCTTTGGGCAAACAGGTATGCCAAACATCCTTACCACACAGCAAGTATTCTAGCTGACGCTTCCAGGATGGAGGAAGACAAGGACAGGATGTGTCAGGAGATTGATGCAAACATCGAGAAGTTGAAGGCTTGGTCTACTGAAGTCGAGGCCGCTGTACAGGAAGCTCGTGTACGGAATTAGATACCACGTAGGGCTGGAGAAATAGTCGCATAATCGTACATACCTATGACACGCCTGTGTTCTGATCAGCATGTGGCCTCTTCTGACAGCTAGGTACAGTAACACCCGTGGGCCGCAGCTCGCCCCAAGGCCCGAGCCCAACCCCCCCAGTCCCAGCCCGCATCAGATATATCCATCGTTGCCAATGCCGATCATGTTCTATTCTGGGCCGTGAATCGGGCCTAACGAGGGCAGCCCATGTTCTGGGCGAATACTTAAGTATGGCTGTAGATCCCACGAAATGGTCCGTGTCTGTGCTGACAAGCAAGCCGCAAAATGGACCTAAACGAGGTTGGACGACAGAGGAAGGCGGTCAGAAGGAACATTGGTTCCTTACTGACGAAGTGCGAAGACTACAGCAAGCTGGGGGACATCGAAGTCGCCCTTTATGTCTCTTTCCCCAAACACGGAGGCTTTGTCTCTTACGAATCGACCGACCTGAGCTGGCGTCAAGATATCCAAGCCAAGGTACAGTCCCTGGCCTTCTGTCGTGCTGCCTCCTCTGATCACAAGTAGAAAGCAAAGGCACCACCAACTCTTCATCTGGCAGAGGATCTCGTGAGAGCTGTTGGTCATAAAGTCACAGGATTCTATTTCAAACAGAAGAGAGGAAGGCCTTCTCGGGCGAACAAGATGAGCAAAGCGGGACAGTCGGCCGTTGGATCGAAAGCTGGGGGCCGGAAAAGGTTGACGAGGTCTCTGGCCCGTGCTTGCCCAACGGCGAGGGGGGAAACGGACCACCCCGTGGCCAGTGCGTTTCCGATCATGCCGGATCTGAGGATTGCGAGCCTGCGGGCTGGGGGTGGGAGCTAGGCGGGTGCCTGTGTTGAGAGTCACGTTTGTAGGCCAAGCCCCTCATGTGGGAGACCACCGAAGTAAATCGAACTTGCAAATGCTGTTGGTTGAACCGCTTCCATTTCTGCTCATCAGAGTCAACGAATCGGGCAAATTAAAAATAGATTCCGCCCTGAGAGTTCCGCCGTAGCCGGACATCTGCCAGAAATGATGCAAAGATCGGCCAGGCCGGCCGCAGACCAGCAGGGAAGGGCAATCACGGGATACCTTGTCAACCACTTTGGGACCAAGTCCCTTCATACATGCCCCAAACAGTTAGTACGACTACATAGAACAGGACGCCTGTACTCGCTAGTTCGATCCTTCTGCTAAACCAGCCACCTCTTAGGCCGTCCCGAGGATACGGAACCCAATCATGGCAGCACAGGAAGCGCCACTCCACCCCCTGCCAAGACCCGCAGACTCGCCCGGACTGCGTGTTGAAACCAACCGCACTGGAACCGGTGGGGCGTGCGCTGAAGGATTCATCATCGGCTGCATTCCTGCGCTCTCCTATGCCGGAAGCGATCCCGTGGGACGTGCGGCATCCGGACTAAAGTCCAAATACTTCACGTGGACTTTCGAGTCGGCCCTGTGTTGCACGAGAATGCGGACTCGGTTGACAGTCTGGGGGTCTGCGCACACTGCCGGCCAACGAGCATTAGCAATCAGATGACATGACGGGATTCAATGACGGCATCACCCACAAGATATGACAGAACGACCCCCATGCCGCTCAAGCTCAGCCCCGGTCAGGTACCCTGCATCCATGGCCCTGTACGTCACGACGATCCGCTTTCCTCGGTTGACAAAGTCTGTCATTCCGGCGTCTCGCGACAAGAAGCCGCCCACCACAAATAGATAGATGTGTAGCACCTGCGCGGCAGTTAGTTCGGCGCGTCATGAGCCGTCATGAGCGATTGCAGCACGAAGGGGGGACGTACCTGACTTTTCTCGTCGAGCTCAAGCAACTGCTGCATCCTGTCGGCCACCCAACCAAGCTGGACTGCGACGACTTGTCAGCGGGGCTCGGTTTACGGGATGTTTGGCTGTACCCACTTTCGGCATCCACTTGCCAGAACAGCGTCACCCTCTTCGTCTGGACGCCGCAGTCGTAGTAGCCCCGGAGGAGTTGCGCGACGTGGGACAGTTGACCGGCGATTCCTATGCCCGTCGCGAAGAGAAGAACATTGTCATAGAACTCAAGGCCCATTTCTTTCCCGTACGGCCCGTCGATCAGGGCCCGCCCGCCGTAGCTGCTGCTGTGTCTACTATCCCTGATGCGGAAGACACGTTCTGTGAAGCCCTTTTGTTTCTGCGCGATCAGCACAATGTAGTTGTCGTCGTCGACCCGATACCACCACGCAATATAGAACGGATGTGATTGGAAGCAGGCCGTGTGGCTGGCCCCCGGAATGGTGAGGTAGACATATTGCCCAGCCCTCACGTTCCACGGTCTCGACAGCCGGACGTGGACATGGACGGCATCTTCGAGCGGTATGCTTGACTGTTCAAGTTCGAACGTGATTGTACGGACGGCGGCTCTGCTGGATAGCGAGCCGAGGCGGGTGTTGCGGTAGAGCACCAGTCCAAGCCGTATGATCCATGCGAGTCCTAGACACCCGGCAGCTGCGATCAGATACCTTTTGGGCGACTCTAGAACGCCGGATGACGGATTGTGGAGGTAGATGAAGACAGCGGCGCATAGGGCCAGGCAAAAATGGACAGCAGCGAACACTTCATACGCTCTTCGCCGAAGGACGCTTGTCAAGGGGATGGCGACCAGGATGGCCGTGACCTATTTGCACGCTTAGTATACCCGTCATCTTGTCAGTGCATCTTCACCCACCACAACGCCAGACTTGTCGCTCAACTTTCCCAAATGATCGGGTGTTTGGGTCGTTAGAGCCACGACGGCATGCGAAAGGCCTTGGAGGATGGCCATGATCCCAAGCCAGCGGTGCACTGCAACGAAGGACTGCAGGCTCAGCCCACACCTACTCGCGATCAAATTCATTTGGGTTCCCAAGAATAGCGGTGCCATGTTGATCACGGACAAGACACCCGACCGGCGGATGAAGCCTGCGGCGTCCTTGACTCCATAGCTGATGGTCAGAATATTGGTGGAAATGAAGGCGATTGCGACGATGAGGTGAAGCCAAGTAATGTTCTTGAAGGGGCGTATGGTCTGGCATATTTGCCTTAAAGACAGATAATGTGGAAGATCTCGCGCAGCGATGTACTTTACAATATGAAAGGCCAACAACGCTATGTTGACGATGATGGAAGTGGCTAGAGGCCCTCCAATCGCCAGGGAGTACCAGATGACAGCATCCATGATTTGACGCCCAGGCATATGGGTAATCTGCGAAGCCGCACACGAAGACAATGCGATGCAATGTATTGCGACTTTATGACTGTGGCAGAGCCATGTTTCTGTCCCTGCCCACACAGATCACTGCCCTTCTAGGATCTTGGGAACATTCGGTTCCGTCGCCATGCGGCGTAGGGCCGAGAATCAGGCCCAAAGTCCTGCGGAAGCATGGATACTCGTAACGTGTTCATTTCGATATAAGGCCGGATGATATCCTGTAACAGACCATCCGAAGCCGGGACGACAGACAAGCACCTTTCGCCTATCTTCTTCACGATGACCCAAGACCAACAAACCCAGCAGTCCCAGCCATCAGCAGACACCCCGGCTGTGATGGCGCCACGAGGCCAAACTGTGACGAACACTCACTGCACAGATATAGTAAGTACCTCTACTCTGCGTCTCATGGCGGTTTCGCTGATGGCATAGTGTCAATCGAGCAACGGCGGGGCCTGCACCTGTGACATGGCGGGACGGCTTGATTATGACCTCTGGTCGTTGATCCAGCAGTTCGACAAGGCTCGCAGGACGCTGGAAAACTATCGCGAGATCGCCAAGAGGGGGAATCTTGAACGGTCCTACGTTCTGCAGCAGCAGCATGACAACCTCAACGCTCGCTGGTCGAGCAGCTACGGCGAGCTGCAGAAGGAAGTACAGAAAAGGACTCGAGATTTCCAAAGCGTCGCCAAAGACCTTGAAGATCTCAAGATCAAGCTGAAGGAGCAGGTGGCATACAACCAGACCACCGAGCTGGCGTCTCGCGAGCTTCGAGCCACCGTCGAACTTCAAAACCGCGAGATTCTTCGGTCACAATCGCTCCACTTCCAGAGCGAGACCCTGGAACGAGAGCTGGCAGAGTCCAAGTCGGTAAACCAGGCGGTCGAAGCGGTCTTGGTGATGAAAAAGCAGCGCATCAGCGAGCTCGAATCCGACCTGAAGGCGATCGGCGTCAAGAACGAACAGGCAGTAGTTGATAAGGCTGAGCACGAGTCGCTCAAATTGCAATTTGATGCCCTGGAAGCCGAGCATGCCGAGACACTGGACATTGCCAGCGGTCTGTTTGAGGGCGAAGCTGGCAGCACGCCTGCCGAGCTCATTGGCCAGAACAGAGCTTTGGAGCAGCAACTGCGCGAGCTTCGAGCTGAGAATGGGTCTCTGGCGGAGCGGCTAGAGGGGGCGGAAAAGGAGTGCAATGGGTCGTCCCGCAATCTGCGCACCGCCGGAAGCAAAGGACTGGGTCCGGAGGAGAAGGGCGATAGTGTCTCGGCAATCATGGGCGATGAAGGGAAGGGGAGGAAGAGAAAGCGAACCAAGTAGTTAAGGTCTGAAATGGGGTCTTGCTGGCGTACTTAGGACCTTGACGTGGCCTTTCTCCCCGGAGGCTGGCTATCAATACAAGCCCCGTCTCTACAAATACGGCAGTAGCTACAACCAGATCTCTTTGGCCTGGAACCCTTCAATTCTCTTGCACTCCACGCCTGTCGTACAGTAGTACAGACGCTTTCCCAATCCCTCTGCCTTGCACTCTGAACTGGCACACACGATGCGATGCCGTCAGATGCTTGGTTTATTTGTCTTGGTGCAACGCTCACTGTCAACCGCAAGTCTCCAGGCATCCAATCAGATAACCAGGGCCCAGCCTTGCAAGACTCCCCGCCAACCTGATCTTAGCATCAATGGCCGAGGGAAGCGCGGTCTTGCCTACAACGCCGCTGAGCTGGTCGACTACTTTTTCACGGGTGGTCACACGTGTACATCATGTGGCTGGGCCTATAATTGGGACTCGTTAGATAACGGGCTCACGGAATGGGGCCTTGAATTTGTCCCAATGCTGTGGAGCCCAATGGAAGACCACACCCGCCGGTGGAAGCTGAATGTGGAGGAGATGATCGGGAAAGGGTCTACTCACGTTCTTAGCTTCAACGAATGTGACATTGTCTCCCAGTGCAACACAAGTCCTGCGGAAGCCGCGGAGGCGCATGTTGAGCACATGAACTCTCTTGCTGCTCGGGTCCGAATCGGGTCACCAGCGGTCTCCAACAGCAATATCAAAGGCGAAGGCCTTGACTGGCTTCAAACCTGGGTGGACGTCTGCAAGGGAAAGGGGTGCGCGTACGACTTTTGCACGGTCCATTGGTACTCTCCCTTAGAAAACACAGCCGATCTATTTGAGCACATCAAGCAGGCTGCTGCTATTTGCAACAACAAGCCTATCTGGTTGACAGAGTTCTCTGCGTTGCCACTGGACCAAGATGGCATGGAAGCTTCAGAGTGGCTTGGGGCTCAACTGCCAAAGCTAGATTCTCTTCGCCATCTCGAGAGATACGCCTTTTTTATGGTCCAAGATGGGAGGCTTACCCAGCCCGGACGCTTGAACAGCGCTGGGGAAGTGTACGCGGGTAGGTAGCGGGGAAGCGGGGAAGCGGCTCGACCTACACTCGAAGCAAGGAGTAGTCACAGTAAGAGGTTAAAGGGGGCCAAATTGTCGACACCATCATTTGTATTGTGACGAGGAAATCTAAGTGGTTGTGTTATGCAAACCATTGATATTCTACAAAACTATTCCGTAGAGACAATCGGTTTCTTTCATGCCCTCGCGGCGCAGTACTATATCTAGGTCTCCCTCTTGAAAGCGGTGCAGACTCAAGCAGTCCTGCCGGTAGCAGCAAATACTAGACTCGGCACAGCCAGGCTCAATACCTTCCTCTGCGTGATTTACTGCCGCCCTACCTGTTTATCATATGCCGTGATTATACCGTCCAGAAGTTTGGTGTAAAGAGCTGCTAATGCAATCATAATGCCACTGAGGGCTGAGACAATGCTGATCGATACTTTGGCTGTGACGGAGAGCTCGCCATCCTGGCTGGTGGCTATACTCATGACAACGGAGAAGAGTGCGATGAGTGAATGGGAGATGCCGGGTCTGGAAAGTCACATCAATTACGTTTGACGAGCCCGGCCGTGGCTAACTCACATGAATACCTGCGCAATGAGCCAAACATAGTTCTTTTGCCACTTCCACCAAAGCCAGCATGACCCCAGGACGCCGACCCCACAGAGGACACCAGCAAGAGGTAGGAGCTGCACGTTTCGGACCGCGCTCTGGAGCACCTTGCCTCCCTGGTGTTTGCGAAGGCTTTCTGACTTTTCAATGGACGTAAACGTATTGGGAAGGACAATGAACCCTGCAAGAGTGATCCAGGCACATATGGCAGCGAGAGCATTGTATCGCGTCGGAATCTGGTTGGACTTGATGGACATGGCCATGTAGCGGGTATGGTGGGCTGGTACAGCAAGGGCACTCATCGTCGGTCGTAGGGCGTGAGGCGTAATGACCGCCGGCCTATTGCCTATTGTCGTCAAGTATCACATACAATAGCTATGGATCAGGACTGGCCTTGGAAGTGCGTCCTTTTTAAGTGATATGACAAAAGCTCCGAAGGTTGGTCTCAAGCCAGACAGTACAGTATGGGCCGTGAACGGGGCCCTTACATTCCAACACAGCATAAGAGTGGACTCCTGCTGCCGCTCGACCTCTCCTCCAGGTTCGTTCGTTTCTGCGCGCCCAAAGACGGATCTAGTGTGCATACGCCATGTTCTATGCTCGTCATTTCGCTCTATCGGGGATGATGTTGAGCGCTCTGTCCTCGGTTAGAGGCAATGCCGTGCCAACGCAGATTGAAGAGAGAGCCCAGAGTGGCGTTGCGTGTTCTTCGATGACGACCACAATCTACGAACCAACGATCGTATCCAGCCCCTCCCGATCTTGTCACTGCGCCGAGTCCTACCCCAGCCAGTCTGGCGTCGCGGCGCTTGAAGCGGCATCGCCCGAAAAAGATACCAGCGACGACAGCGGAGCATACAAGACTCCTTTTGAAGGCGACATGACGTACTACAACCTTGGCCTAGGCTCCTGCGGAGTGAATGACGGTGGCAAGGACTACACGACAAATATTGTTGCCCTGTCGCACCTTCTCATTGGGGAGGAATCAAACGACAATCCGTTCTGCAATCGGGTTGTAACAATCGGCATGGGGAGCAAGACGACGACAGCTATTGTTCGTGATAAATGCATGGGATGTGCCGAGGAGGACATTGACGTTTCCATGGCCACATTCAACGAGTTGGTTGGCTCGCTTGATGCGGGACGCGTGGCAGTTGAGTGGTGGTTAGACTAGTGACACGTCAAACTAGGCGATCCTGTCCATAGACGACGGGTAGAACTAGTTGATTGATTTCGGACTGTAAATTTACGTTTTTACTTGGTATCTATTTGTTTCCCTCTTCCAACACAACCACTCGGTGGCGGGTTTACCGGCCCCAGCCTCGTGATTGCTCTGGGATCGGGGCATCCCCCACGAATCCCAAGCCTCCGTTCTCCTTGTCGCTCTGAAATGAATCTCACATAGCCTACTTACAAACAGGATTGATCAAAGGCCTCAGTTCGGTATAAAGATCCCTCTCGGGAATGCTCACATCCCAGTTCAGTAGCAGCAACAGCTCTCTTTCCATATGATTGACATCGTCGCAGCTCAGCCTGAGCGCATGCCTCTGTGTTGCGATGCGACTAAGCCGAGCCCAGCTTCCGTTTGTGTATGGCGTGTCGTCGTGGTACTTGGTGCTCAGAATCAGAGCAGCGAGAAAAATGCGGTGGCTCGTGGACGGCGACCCTTGGCACGACTGCAAGCGTCTTTTGAGTCTGGCAAGGTAGATGAGTGTCGACATGAGGATAGGGGTTTCGATTTTGGACAGCTCCACCAATCGATAAATGAATTCCTGCAGCGACGGCAATCGGAGGTCGGGCACGAGAATGTAAAAGCCGGCGGACTCTGAAGGCCGCCCCTGGTGACTTGTGAGAGACGGGACCAGGCTGGGCACCAATGTAGAGACACACTCGACCACGTCTGAAGCACATTCTGCCAGGTATATGATCATAGCTGGATTAACAGGCTGGTTGAGGAAGCTATGAAGTGCCGCTGCGTTAAAATCCGTGGTTGACGACATGGTAGTTTGGGTTGCCTCCCTTGCGTGTTTCCCCCGCGCGTTGGTTCTCTCGGCCGTTGGCCCCTTTAATGCCAATACGAGGTAACGAGATATTCGTGGCAAAGTCGTACATGGCGGAATAGGATAAGTTCTAAGCCAGGGCCTGGTTCAGGGCCTAGGTCAGGTCTCAAGTCAGGGCCCTCATTGTTTCCCCGGTCGAGCCTTAGATCAGGCCTTAGTTCATGTCGCCAGTCAAGTCCCCAAGATGGTCAAGCGAAGTTCCGAATCAAGCCCCACTGGGGGGTGACATAGCACGTACGTAGATGGACTTGATTAGAGTGTATGGCACTCTTTTGTGCATAGTTTAGGATCTGTAGGCTCAATCTCGTACTACAGTACAGCAGTGTTGACCGAACTCAACGGAAGCCCAGATTTCAAATTAAACCTGTCCCTACATGCTATATCTTGTAAGCTATGGAGAGAATGGGACCCCAGAATCATACGTGTGTCCATTCACACATAGGCTCTTGAGCTACGGCAACCCAGACGACCTACTTGCCGACCGGACTGGAGGCTGCCCTAGTGGCCTGAAGGAACGACGAAACATCGTGGTACAGAGCAAGAAACCATCCAAGCATTCTACTCATCATATACGGCAATCATATTATACCAGAAGCAACGTCGTCAAGAGTAGAATAAACGATGACAAGTTCCGCGATGCCGCCTCGCTTGCCATGACCAATGTGGTGGGCGAAGAAATAGAGCCAGTCCCCAGTATACTTGCACTTGTCGAAGATCGAGTCGAGTTGTCCAGTGAGGTGCGATTTGAGAAATCCTTCTCGTAGGTTGGCACAAGGGAGTGGCTGGCAGGTTGCATGGTGTTGAATGCTTGCTCGGAGATCGGGGGTGGAATCGATGTCGGCAGAGTCGACACCGCGGAGGATACTACACAGGAACAAGAGGCAACACTTGCCTCATTGTAACTGCTTAGATCGATTGAAACAAAAGAGCTCGTTTTTATCGCGGTGGCTTCAGCGATGGCTGATGATATGCTTTGACTAGACATGGTAGAGTTCCGCATCGGCGGCATATGGTCTTCTGACCCCTTGCAGACAGAGCCGAAGATGGGCAAAAGGACGGAGCATACACACACACACACACACACAAGTTTATTACGCCTGGTGGCCTAGAGCCAATAAGGCACTATTTGCTATTGTACACGGTCGCTTCCTCTAGTCTGTCCGAATCTCCCAAGCCCATAATAGGTCATCTTTCCGCTCTTGCTTTCTCGTCTTCTGTCTTGCCGCCGGTTTCTCGTGGGGTTTAGATTGTATTGGCAAGCTGCTTGAAGGCTATTCTTCAAGTGTTCAGAGTCCTATCTACGGCGACTGAAGCGGCGCTTACTGTTGTTGACACGAGGTGTGGGTGTTAGGTTCGGTTAATAGAAGAAGGGGGGTTTTGGTGTGTTAGGCCCCCGCAAGGGATCACACGTTCTCCAGTCGGCCCGTGGCCTTCGCAAAGCGTATCGTAGCTCGGACTGCTTTCATGTCCGGCTTCCAATCATCACCATCTGATGTCGTCTTACCTCCCAAATGGAAGGAGATGTTGTCTCTTTGTGTGCCAGGGCGCATGAGTGTCTCGGCTCGTTGTGTTGCCCATCGTGTGCATCGGAGGAGAAAGTGCTCCACCGTCTCTCTCGCTTGTCCGCATGCGCATTGGGCTGAAGCTACTGCCCTGATTCGGAAAAGTGAGGCGTTCAGTCTCGCCATGCCTGTCCTGAGCTGGGCCAGCATGCTCGCCTCCATCCAGGAAAGGTTATCATATAGTTCTCGAGTGTGCTTGCCGGGTAGTGCTATGTCGACTTCCTTCGAGAGTTTTCCAACATTATCTGGTAGTCGTCTTTCCACACGTAGTTTGCGCCTTGCAGCCCCGAACAACCCACTCCTTCCGGGAAGCCGCCCGGCCGGCCGTGGCTGCGCCTTAACGACCCCGTAAGCCTCATGCTCCATCGGAGACCTTCCCACAGGAGTGCCTCGGCCCCGGGCAAGGCCGAGACGGTGCCGCCCCGTGCTCCTCACGGGTCGCGGGTCGTGTCATCCGAGTTTGCACCTTAAGCCAGCCGCAACGGCAACCCGTCTCTAAGCCGACCGACATGCGCATCCGTCCTCTCGAGCCACCGTGTCGTCTCCGCAGGTCTCAAGTGCAGGGGCCACCACGCTGGCGATACCACGTCAACGCGAGACGGCCTAGGTACGAGCTAGGGGATATACTGGATACGCGGACGATGTCATGTTCCATGACGGCCCAGATAGAACTGGGAGCGTATCCGGCAAACCAGCGATACCACGTCTGCGTAACGGCCCAGGTACGAACTGGGAACGCACCTCCCCCGCTGCCTTCTGGTCACGGCCACAGCGCTACGGCCCACCGGCAACCCCGGGCGCAACCCCAGGACCAGCTTCCCGTTACCGCGACTCGTCTCCGAATCGCGGCCGACCATGTCTTGCAGATCAGAGACGCACGGCAGCCGCCACGCCGGCACGGCTGCCCGCACTCTGTCCACTAACCCAACCCATGTCCCCCATATGATGTTCGATCGCGGTGCGCTGTGGCGTCGAGATCGGTCCGGCCGCTTGTCTTGTGCACGAAGCTGAACAGGTCTGCTGACACCGGAGCCGGCCCTTCGGTCTTAACAACTTCCATTACGCTCGACAGAGCACGTAGGCTTGTTCCGAGCCCTCGCCGGGAGACGCGCCGATGCCTCATGATGCTCGACTCGTCCGCCTCCCGACCTCAGAGCCGGATGGATCGGAGGGTGTCCTGTCTCTTCATCGACGTCAGCCAATGTCAAGTCGGATGGTTTTCTTACGCCAGTATCCCTCGCGCAGCTTGTTGGCTTCGGAAAAGCGTGGGTGATGCGGTGGTCGTTGATCGCGTGGTCCGTTTGTAGGTCCGAGGGCGCCAGTGAAAAACTTTCACGGCACCACACAACCGCGGGAATCGACTGCGCGCGACGTGCCGCACCACACCCGCCGTCCCTACTGACACCGGACACCACGAGAAGGTCTGCTGCTTCGTCCTACTGCTCTTTCAAGCAGCATCCAGTGTGCTCACCGGAGGCACGGAGCATACAGTTGTGTGCAAAACTCCCTTCCTCTCCACACTCTACAACTTTCTCTCATGGTTGATGGGATACTTGTTGGTACAAAGGGCGACTTTAATATGACCCAGAATCGGTCCTTTTCACCATGCGGGACGGCTTTTGCTGACACACAAGGGTCTCTTTTGGTTCCGTCAAGTAAACAATTAGACAAATATGTCATCGGCCCACTCTAACATATCCATTCATGGCCGTTTGGACCTGTTAAAGCGAAGGATTGGGGAGTGGGTCATGCCGACAAAGAAAGATCACGAGTGTAGAGAGGAAGGGAGTTTTGCATGTGACTGTAGAACCCAGAACGAATAGACCATTGGAAGAAAGGTAAAAAGATATCTTAACGAGGGTGGAACTTGCTGGGAGGTGGTTGACTTTGCCTGAACTAATAGTGAATGATTGTCCTAGAACAGGTCCTCGCTATGGTGCCTAGCGACATACCATAGAGCGACCCAAAGCCCATATCTGGTTCCATTATTCCATTCCTGTCCTAATATTCTCATATTGGCTGTCGGGATAATGAAGCTGATTTAGGCCCAGTCCTCGTTCTCCATCGAGAGGTTCTAAAAGCTCGAAGCTCTGTGCGACCAGGCTCTCCTCATCCGTTCTATCACCACTGACCTCCCAGAACATGGACCCCACGAGGCCTTTGTCTTTGATGTAGGAAACCTTCGTCCTCAACGTGCTCGGCGTGTCGAATGAAATGAATGTTCTGCTTTGCTGGTCGTAACTAAACGATGCCTGTGCTACGTCGTCGTTGGAGACGGTAGCGCCGGGTTGAGGGAGGACCTTGTAATCCCACACGCCGTTTTCCCACGAACCCCCACCTATTCCCGAGAATGGCTTCCCTAGCCCGTCCGTGTTCTGAAAGGCGCGGCCATACAGGGGCATGCCGAGGGCTATCTGAGATGCGGGGACCCCGGCATTGAGGTAGGCCGTGACAGCAGCATCTGTAGAGAATGGAGTGGTTGTGTCGTTTACGTCGTTTGTGTAGAGGTTTGCTTGATGAGCGGCATAGACGTCCCATGAGCCAGAATAATCGTAGGCCATCAGATAAAAGGTATCAACAATCCCCGAGATTCTTTCAAGATCGAGCTTCTCATAATGAGTCGGACCGGCGGACGATGCGATCGTCAAGAGGAAGTCGTAATCGGGGGAGTACTTTGACTTGTATGCATTGAGCTCATCACGTACCGCTGTCAACAGGAGAGCGAAGTCCTCCGCCTCTTTCTCGCTTCCTGGGTATTCCCAATCGATGTCGATGCCGTCGAACCCCCAATCCTTCATTAGCGCCACGGCGGACCGAGCGAAGGTCAATCTGCCCGCCTCCGTGCTTGCCGCGATGGGAAAATTAGTAGACAGCGTCCATCCACCAATACTTAGCATGGTCTTGATGTGACGATTGTATTTCTTCACGAGGAAAAGTTGTTTGACGCATCCATAGGCATTTAGACCGCTCTCATTCCATGCTGCCAAGTTGGTCAGTGTCATGTCATGGGCGTGGATAGTGACGTACAGTCAGTCGGATAATGCTTCTCCAAGTCGGCGTAGGTGTCTAGGGGATAGCTAGCAACCAGTCACTTCCGTTGTTCGTCCTCGACACAGACTGTGAAACCTACACCTCCCCCGATGGTCGCAGATTCAGGAAGGCGTATAGGACATGTGTGACTTTCGTGGCGGGAAGGTCCTGGGGATGGTAGTCTCGCCCGTATATCGCCCTGATTGCATGTTAATACTTGTCAATTGCCCTTCAAGTCAAGACGTGGCTCACCAGTTTGGGAAATAGACTGCATTTTGATAGCAACTGGATACTTCGGCCCATGCCAGCAGCAGTAGAATTGCGTAGGAAGAAACCCCCATCGTGAAGGACGAGGATGCGATGCCAGTGGAGAGAGAGCGCTGGGTATGAAGAGATGCCGGCTCAGATTAAGACCACAGGCCAAGAAGTGAAAGACGCTTACCATGTTGGTCCCGAAGCCTGGCCCTTCAATAATCCCGAATGCAGACCAGTGGAGTGTAGCAGGAAAGGCCGCATTCTGGTCTCTCCCGTGGCCACCAGATGCACCACGAACCCAACACTGACTCCGTCGTGCTGTACATACGACACCTGACTTGCCATCTTTTACCCGAGTCAATGACTGTATTTCCACGATTCGGAAGATGATTCTCTGTGTCATTATCTGCAAAAAGCACTGTTGCATGCGATCTAAGTAGGAACCAATCGTGGAGTGGGTTTTACCAGTACTGGTGGACCCACAAACGATGATCTGTCTAGGTAGTCCGAGTGACATCCGTTGACCTGAAATGAACAGTTTCATAGAACCTGAGAGACTCCTAGGCGACAGTGCTGGGGGCTCTGGCTCTGAAAAGTAGTCCATCAGAGAGGTCTAGGGGCCCTCTTGTAGTCTCGTCGTCTCATGGTCACCTGTGCTGACACCCGCCCCTTCTACTTCGTGCTTCGACATGTTCAGACCTTTCCTTGCGAGCCGGGCCCCATGAGTTCTTTCAGTTTGTCACGCAATGCGTCAGGACAAACTGAATCGAAAACTTGCTTTGAGCGTATGAATTTTACCCTACTTTAGCTCCCATGCATTGGAAGCTCTTCACCTAGGCTATCCCACGGGGCCAGGCGAAGTCACCTTCCCTGCACCACTCCAGGCGTCTCCAGTCGTCTCAGACAATCTTTTCCAAAGCCTCCGTGGTGGTAAGTGTGGTTTCATTACCTAGGAGACTAGCGTTCCAAACTTCACCGTTCTAGAGCTCCCTAGGCGGCGTCTTTGAAGTAGAACAGCTCGGGCTCTCAAATTGTATTGGCAGGGATGATGAGGGTGCTATGAATCATTCACAACGCGGACTGTCGAGCCTTTGAGTGCTTCTGCAGGGTTCCATGAGCAATCGGACACGAATTGCACTCATCATTGCCTCGAATTGAACGACATACAGAATACTAGGGTGCGTAGGGCAACGAAAGAAATGTATTCAGCCGTTCTCTTTCCTTTTCCTCTTCTTACCCTCGTGTGCCTCCCGGATATGACGAACCACGTAATCTAGCCGTATAAACGTTTTGCCGCAGATATCGCATGAACCGCCAATGACAGGGTATCTCATCCTCGTTGCCCAGATCCTGTGTTTGGTCCAAACATGTCGGCTGCGATGCTTTCCATCTTTGGCTTGCGCCCACCTGCAACGTTCCTCTGGGCATTTCCAATGCTCGTATACGTGGTGTCTGAAGAACAGTAATATTGGATCAGTATGGTTGAAGACGAACGTGAGTAATGATGCACAAGCCGGGTGAGTTCATACTTCATGTCGTCCTGGATCGCAGCACGATACGAGCAGCCCTTCCATTTGCATGTCAGACGCGACACAACATCGGCTTCGGATGGATCTGTCTGAGACCAAGCAAGAGGTACGACCTGTTGGGCATCTGCCAAGGGTTGAGGCGGTAATTGCTGAATTGGGTCCATGGCATCCGGCTGAAGAGGAGAGCTGTCCTCGGGACTTTCCGCTACCGTCTGCTCCGCGTACTCAATGGACGCATGAGCGTCCGAATGAAGCGGAAGCAACTCACCGTCACCTCACAAGCTTAGGGAGGGCATTGAAAGTCCCGATAAAGAAGAATTCGGACAACTCTCGACTCGCAAGGTAGGATCCACGGTCCGCGCGTGCGCGGCTGATCCTTCTTGTGGCAACTGTATGGTGATGATCTCTGCCAAAACGTCATCTTCGTCCCCATATTCCCCTGAAAGAATGGGTTCATCTGCTCCTGGGCGGAATGCTGGGTTACCGAATGGAAACATGCTGAAAGCATTGATGCAACGGGAAGGGCGAGATGGGATTTGACTAGGCTCTGGGCCCCTCCCGCCCCCAATGGAACGGAAATGCAGTGGCAAGAGTCTCTGCGATGGGGAGTTAGCTTCTGCGCATGTGTGAGGCGATTGATTGAGGCCAGGCCTCTTTATGAACCGAAACTTGGGTACCGCTGGTTTGGGCTGTTGCGGCCACGCGAGGAGGGAGCAGAAAGTGCCAGTTCTGACCGTATGACCTCGGTGAACAGGATCGCCCCATCGCATATCGGTGAGATAATGCTACAGCTTGCTATTGGGTGCTCATGCATGGTGTCGCAATGGCGCTTTGAAAGCAGGCGGTGGGAACCACATCTGGCAGCAAGACTTTAGGCCAGCTTTGCTCCTGATACGTGGAATCCATCGGCACATGTGGCGCGTTTATCGAAACTCTCCTTCGGTCGCTTTCTCGGACCACCCGCATGCTATGCCAGCCAATGAATGATCTCCGGCCTCCAACATCAACATTGTCCCGTCTGATTGGATGTGTCGAATTCTTGCACTTGGATCATCTTGAGAGTCTCGACCGAGAGCGAATCCAGCGGGGAACGCTCCAGCGGCTGCACAACGACCTGAATTCATCACAACCTCAAACTTGCCAGACATGACGCGGAAAGCTGCGCAACACCCCCAGGTAAGAACCTCCGAACACCATGGGAACACTTCGATAGAAGCAGTCCGCCCACCGACTGGGCACCAGCCACCTGACTTGCCCCCAACACAAGGCCTCTCTGGTGATGCGCACAGACGTTTTGTTATCGTGACAACCCTTCTGTCTTTGATCGACCCAGTCAGAGGTGAACCAACTGTACATAGCCTGGACAGACACCCTCACGACGGTGCTTGGAAGCAGGAGCAACTGCAGAAGAAATTCCTCGACTCTTTTGCGCTCATCTGCTCCACTTCGAGAAAAGGGGCCGAAACTGCTTCAGCGGTTTGTCTTGAGCAAGGTCATCCAGATGGTTCTGTCCTCCGCCTTGCCCGCAATCTGAGGACCCCCGACGACTTGGTTGCCCGTCTTCACGAGGTACTTGAAGACCTGGCTGGAGTCGCATCACGAGGTACGATGCGAGTCATATCTTTCTGGATGCCAACTAATAACCCCCGAGAAAAGTCAGTCAAGGACGCAGAGCCTCGTATCATGTTCAAAATCATCACATTGACTCAGGATAAGATTCGTGCCTTGCTTGAGACCCTCCGCCGGCCAGAAACGAACCTTCGCATCACTGCTGCAGTCTCACAGGTGGTGGATAATGGAGCATCACTTTCAGGGGAACCCGACGAAGGCGCCTTCCGCCAGTGGATCGTCAATCTACCGGTCTTGGCGTCACTAGACCCCCTATCAGACCTTTCCACTCTCGCTCCACACCTCAAGTGGGCATCCCAAGCCAGATGGATCTACTCGGAGCAGATTGAGGCAATGCTCGGACCCGAAGAGGAAGAGCTGCCGCACTGGCTCAGGTGTATCTACAAACTTGGTCGATATCATGCCGCAGCGAAGGCCATGCTCAAGTTGGCCCTCAAGCACCCGAACATCTTCTCCAGCATCCGGGTTGAGGTCATAAGAGCACCCGATCCGGAATCATTCTCCCTCGGGGGAGACAAGACAGCTTTGTTTCAGGTCCTCAAGCGGTTAACTGGAACAAATCCCGATGAGCTCATGAAACAATTAGGGCGGATATGGCTAACAGACGATCCCGAGGAACGTTTACGAAAGGCATGCAAGATGAAACTCACGGTGCACGCCGAGATGCAACTTATCAGCTTTTACGACCACAACCCATCTCTCACCCCGCGTTTGCTTTTCATGGGTACTAGTAAGAAGGCGTGTTACCTTTGTTACGAGTTTATCTCCCGGCATCCTCTCACCATTGGTGTCTCTGCCAGCCACCAAAAGCTGTATCCTACTTGGTTACCGGCGCCATGCTCCTCAGCCGTGCGGAAAAGGCACAAGACTCTTCTGTGGGAGTTCAGTCGGCACCTCGAGGGGGTCACGACACGAGATCTTCAAACCAGATTGGGAATGACGCGTCGTCCGGTCAGTTTGGACTCGACAGCCGGTCCGTCACTGACGACTACGGGGACCGATTCGACGGGCCTTTAGACCCAGCTGTCAAATCTGGGAATTGATTCGAAAGGCGGGGAGGCGTCTTCTCTTCCCGACGCTGATGGCCCGTCTCGAGAAATCCTGTAGACGTAGTAGACGCCGTTTAACGTATGACTGCTAGTCGTAATATGTCGTCGCTAGAAGAAAGAACATTCCAGACGTTACGACTGCGCTGACCATCATCTACCGAGCCACTTGTATCTGTGAATTGTGTGACCTTGCGAGATGGCCACAACAGCACGACAAGTTCCGATAAAGATCTATAGAGCATAGCGCATACATATGCCAGAGCAGCCGACAGGGGAGAGCTAGCAGCCGACAACTATATCCTACAGAGCTACGCAACGTTTCACCTGCAGACATTATACGATGTCATCACAAAGATCAGTCAACTAGTCGCTGTCATCAACCCCAGAACCATGGGGTTCCGCAGCCCCTAATCCCAGTGCAAACTGTTGCTATTCAACAGCAACGGAAATACTGGCACATTGAAGGCAGCAGTTACTCGGGCAAAGGCGATGGAAATAGCATCGAAACGGGCATCAAAGCAGACATGGAAGCATTCACTCAGTCCTCTGGGACTGTGAGGACTGTGAACACTATACATACACTGTCGTCCAAGATGTTGGTTGTAGGCTTTGGCGCTACACACTGTACTGTCACCATATCAAGACGTGATTGTAGATACATCTAGTATGTTGATAATCTACTGTGCAATCCTAACGCATACAAATAGCCGGCTTTGTCCATAACTACCGACAGAGAACAACAAACTGCCGCACGCCGGAAGTATCAGGAGGCTACAAGCATCTTGACTAAAGCGCCCAAAGACTTTGCCAACTGGATCACCACGTGGGAGATAGCCACCAGCCATGCACTGATGTGGAAAACTGGAGGTGTCGAAGACCCCAACACTTGGTTCGACGACCTTACCAAGGCCATTCGGCCCATTCTCGGCCATTGGGTCACAATCTACAGGGGCATTTACAAGGACAAGCTCGAAGACAAGACCCTGTCGATCGGAGAGGTTGCCAAGGACCTTCGAACGGAGGCTGAGCAGCAGAATCTTCTCCACCCACAAGAAAAACGTCCCAAGATCGTCAGAGGCTCCTTTGGCCCGACATTTGCTGGTGAATCATCAGTTGGGTCAGGAACGGGCATCCAAGACGAAAACATCACCTCACGCCCGCAAGAAGAAGAGAGAACGGCCCGCAAGCGGAAGGCGCAAGACACTCTGACAACAACACGACGAACTAGAGCCGCGACCTCTAACCGGGGCGATGCTGCCTGTCGAGCGTGCGATGGCAGACACGACTTGGGCAACTGCTACTACATCTTCCCGACCAAGGCGCCGGAGGTCTTCAGGGAACGGAAGGTGATTCGAGAAGCAGTCGACAGCCGTCTACGGACAGACAAAAGTCTGAAAGATGACGTGAACCGTCTAAAGAAGGTTAACCAACTGGAAGAAGCCGAATGACTCGGGAGGGGTGTTGGACGATGCACTGCCAGCTTTGTGGTCGCTGCTCTCAACGCTGCATTTTCCATCACCCAGTACCCGCTCAAGAACTCGGCCATTCTCGATTCAGGTTCGACCATTCACATCTTCAACAACTACAATCGTTTCACGAGGTTTCAGCAGGCAGAAGAAGGAGACTATGTCTTTGCCGGGGAAAGGAGAGTTCCCATCCGCGGATATGGGATCGTGGACATCCAGACTCGAGGGCCCAAGGGACCGAAGGTCATCAGACTTTGCGATGTGGCTCTCTGCGAGAACTTCCCCTGCAACCTTGTTTCGTTACGTCAACTGCACAAACGCGGATATTGGTGGGATAACCGCCCAGGGCAGAACTGTCTCCGAGACCGGAATCATGCGATCGTTTCCAGACTGGCGGTTCGTCATGATCAGTTTCTCATCGAAGACATACCTCTGGGATGCCCTGACAGCGCATTCGTTACCCGACGACACCGAGCGGATTCTTGGTCAGAGCGTACTTCCAAAGCTGATGCCCGGAAGTGGCACTTGCGACTTGGCCATCCTGGACCGCGGGCCCTTGAACATCTAGTGAACACCTCCAGGGGTGCGAGAGTCAAGGGAACAACGACCGTGGAATGCGACGGTTGCGCACTCTCCAAGATGACACGACAAGTCAGTCGCCGACCAAGGAAACTTGGCCATGCGCCCGGCGACCGACTAGCCATCGACTTTCATGATGTGACCAGGGATCAGGAGGGCCAACGCAGTGTCATGCTCGTCACCGATCGCTGGTCGGGAATGATCTGGGACTACTACCTCACAGACAGAAGGACGGAAGTCCTGACTGCGGCAATCAAGGACCTGCTTGGCGTCCTGAAGCGGCAGTATGAGCTGGCCCCCAAGGTTATTGAATGCGACAATGAGATCATGAAGCACAGTCTCACCACCATTGCATTCCTCCGCACGCTTCATATCAAGGTCGAACCATCAGCGCCGTATACACCTGCCCAGAATGGGAGTGCCGAGGTGTCTGGAAGCATCATTAAGACGAAGGCCAGAGCGATGCGCGTTGGCGCCAGACTGCCGGAACACCTGTGGGTTGAGATATACCGAGCCGCTGTCTACCTCCACAACCGGACTCCGAAGTACATCTACAGCTGGCGGACTCCATACGATGGATTTCACACATTCCTGGCACACAGGGACGGAGTTGTCGTGGAGAACCGCAAGCCATACCAAGCACACCTCCGCGTCTATGGGTGCAAGGCTTATGCCATGACCCGGGAAGCGCAACTAGGTACACAAAAGAAACAGAGACTCAACCCCAAGGCATGGATTGGGTTTCTCGTGGGATACCAATCCACGAACATATACCGAATCTGGAATCCACAGACTGGCAGGATCATATCTACGAGGGACGTCATCTTCAATGAAGACGAAACTCTTCAATGGGATTTGAACCAGCTCAAGGATGATCTGCTCCACATCGGTCGGCAAGACTTGATCCATCTACTCGATAGGGTAGACCAGGCTGAACCAGACCGTGCCACCGAGGCAGTAGAAGTGCCTGACGGTGCCTTTCTACCCCAACGAACTTGGGAGGGCCTTCCTGGAGAGGACGAAGACGTTGAACCCCAGGAGAGCTGGGAGGACTTCGCCATTCAGGAAGTGGAAGGGGACACAGAAGCTGAACCGTCAGAGGCTGCGTCTGATCAACCAGCCAGGACTGGCGAGCGCTTTGGGTCAACCGGGGATGCGGAAATCGCACTGGGACTACCAGAGGGCGGCACGGAGAGCCAGGTTACGGCCGGCACCGATGACCAAGCCAAGAACTCTGACGCCCGGGCTAGAGAATACGCTACCCCTGTGTCACTTCCACCGGCAGCACTCCTGTCTTTGGTGATGCGGAACGGCTCAGATGATCTGCCTGAGGAGAGATTAACGATCTACAGAAACGCCGGACCAATTGAGGTGTGGAAAGCTGCCTTTGCTGCTGGACGTCTGGCCCATCCACTCGGCATGATAGACGGAGAACAGATCGACAAGGCCAAGTGGCTTCGACTGCTACGAAATCCCAGGACGCTCCACAGGCGACAGATGCCTCCACTACCCAAGCACCATGGAGACTTGGCCACACATCCCATGAAAACAATGTTTGAGGAGGCGGAAGCAGCACACCTGCGCAGCCACGAAGAAATGAACTCATGGGCGGAGATTTCCAAACATGACCTTCGAGTGCGAGGCTATCAAATCCTTGACTGCATGTGGGTTTACGTGTACAAATTTGACAAACACGGACAGTTCCAGAAGTGCAAAGCACGCCTGGTGGTCAGAGGAGACCAACAACGTAAGTCGACTCACGAAGAGACATACGCAGCAACCCTAGCAGGGCGCTCCTTTCGGACACTCATGGCAGTCGCGGCGCGCTTCGACCTGGAACTGATCCAGTATGACGCCGTCAACGCGTTTGTGAACGCCAAGTTGGACAAGAGCGTCTTCATGCGCATGCCACCAGGGCACCGGAAACCAGGAATGATCCTGATGCTCCGGAAAGCGCTCTATGGGCTGAGAGAGTCTCCACTGCTGTGGCAGAGGGAACTCACAGCTACACTGACCGAACTCGGATTCAGACCCGTTCCTCATGAGACCTGCTGCATGACCAAGGGCGGTGTCATTGTCTTCTTTTATGTCGACGACATTGTCCTGGCATACCGAAAGCAGAGGGGGGGCGAGGTTGAGCGCATCACACGAGCGCTGCAAGCTAAGTACAAATTGACAGGAGGAACACCATTGCAATGGTTCCTCGGCGTTGAAATCATCAGAGACAGAGAGAACAAGCTCCTCTGGCTCTCCCAATCTGATTACCTTGACAAGATTGCTAACCTCATTGACCGCACAGATTTGCGGCACGATGTTCCGATGAAACAGGAAGAACTCCTGCCACATGATGAACTCGCAAGCCGTGGGTCAATCCGAAGCTACCAGCGAAAGATCGGCTCAATACTGTACGCTGCAGTCATCACACGACCAGACGTGGCATTCGCCGCTTCGCGACTTGCGCGACATAACTCAAACCCAGGACCCGAACATCATACTGCAGCTGACCAGGTGCTGCTATATCTAAGGAAAACAAAGACGATGGCCTTACAGTTCGGCGGAGACGATGTTTTCACAATGGCAAGCGACGCATCCTTCGCAGACAATACTCTTGACCGAAAGAGCTCCCAAGCCTACGCCATGACCTTGTTTGGCGGCACAATCGGCTGGAGGGCCAATAAACAATCAACGGTCACCACGTCTACTACCGAAGCGGAGCTCCTTGCACTCTCACAGGCAGCCAAGGAAGCGATGTTCGTCTCTAGACTCATCAAGGAGCTCGGGGTTACCTTGGACGATGAACGCATCCGAATAAGATGTGACAACCAACAGACGATCAAACTGGTCAACAAAGACATCGCTACATTGCAGACCAAACTTCGACACGTCGACATACATAACCACTGGTTGAGGCAGGAAGCACAGAGGAACAGGATCCTGGTGGAATATATCCCTACGGCAAACATGATCGCCGATGGACTTACGAAGCCCCTGAATCATCAGCGCCTCCAGATTTTCATGGCACAGATTGGACTCATCGATATCTCAGATCGACTGGAGGGAAGGCTACTTCGACCCATCGAGAAACAGGAACTTTGGGAAAGAATGGC